GACGGTCTAAATTCGAGGAGTTGTGCCCTAGTTCTCAAAAGAACAGGGCCTTGCTCTGAAAAGAGCAAGTAACTCCCTTGAAACAATATACACGTTACAATTAATAACAATAACATAAAATAGAAAAATTAATCACAAATAAAAAAACAAAAATGACAATTAACAAGCAAGACCAATAGTCAAACCGCCCCGTCCGGAGACAGGGGGGTAATAACTGGAGTTAGCGTAAAAGGACTCACCCGGCGTCGCACTGTACAGCGCGAGCAGGACAGCGGAGGCGCGAGAGCGAGAAGCACTGCCGTACGGGGACGGAGCGCGGACTACCTGTATACAACCGCTCGAGAGCGGTGCGACAGGCGGAATAAAAAAAACGCCTCTGGCGATGCATCGCTTTTATATAGCTACGGGCATTGTTCATGTCTGAATAGGAAAAATCAAGAAACTACCGCCTGACCTGTTCTCGCAACATAGGAATCGGCAGTAACTGGACGATATATTAATAAAATTTCGTGTGTATTTATACCAAATCCTATTTAATTACTCAACTTTTATATTAAAATTAATTTTCTTTTTTTGGAAATTTTTGCAATTTTTGACCCTGGGATTTGGCGCCCCTAAAGGATGGCGCCCGTGTGCATTGCACACTTTGCACATATGGTAGCGGGGGCCCTGCATACCCAGACAACCCACCAGACAGAAATGTGGCCCTACCGCTTAGTTCATACATAAACTTCAAAAATTGTTAATATAAATTCGCTAAAAGAAACGCTGTTCTTAAAAAATGGTATAATTAAAAGTTATTAACTTAAACCAAACTGCAATAGGAAATGTAGGGTCACCTGTCCAACATTGAGCCAGTAGTACACAATGAAACATTTCAATATTTCAAAAATGCGACGTTATTTGATATTGCACAGTACATTTAAAGATGCGGCCCCAATACTCCTCCCAATACCCCAGTTAGTGGATGCGGCGCGTGCGAAGCAGGTGTACGGTAGTGACATTTTACGCAAAAAAGTAAGATTTTTTAATTGATATTCGTCGATTTTTCATTATTTTGTGTTAGAGTTTGCTTTTTATTTTACTATTGCATGACATTGTACATATATTATATGTACAGATTTCAGTTACGTACAAAACATACTTAGAATGTTTTTATTTTACATTTTTATTTTAAGGTTATTGAAATATATGGCATATTATAGTACACAATGAAACAAAACCACGTTGTACAAATGAGCCATGTTTCATTGAGTACTAATCGTGTTTCAATGTTTACCATGTGGCCCATTGCTAGTGTATTGTCTTGTTTAGTAACTACACCAATCGTCCACTAAAAGCTTTTTCTTTGGTTTTTCACTACATGTAATAGATTTACTGATTTATTGTCATTTTCACTTTTTAATTTTCGATTATATATTATAGCGCACTAAAGCTAACAAAAGCAAGAAGGGTAACCACACTGCTGATAACATGCTTCAAGCTATCAAACTATATAGCCAAGGATGAAGCATCAGAAAGGCAGATAAGGAGTATAACTTATGATATCCGACACTGCAACGTTATATAAAAAAATGTAAACAGTACTGCGTATTTACAAAACCAGCAATGATGATGTCAACAATATATTAGCAAATTATCAAGAAATTTCACTGAAAGAATTTATCAAACAATTAACATTAAAATTTTGTGGATTATCCACTAAAGACGTCCGCAGCCTTGCCTATCAAATGGCAACTATAAATAATATAAACACTCCTGATAGTTGGAATCGTGAGAAAATGGCAGCCCTTGAATGGCTTCGGTCATTAATTTTCAAGTAATCTGAATTTGTCATTGCTAAAACGAGAAGCCTGCAGGCTTGCTTGTGCCACCGTTTTTAACAAAGAGTGGATGGTGGTGGAGATGTGACGACCTGGTAAGACATGAGAGTGATGACCTGGTAAGACATGAGAGTGACGACCTGGTAAGACATGAGAGTAACGACTTGGTAAGACATGCAGGAAGTCGATGGATGCAGGTGGCTCAGGACTGTGCTTTGTAGCATTCTTTGGGGGAGGCCTATGTACAAGAGTGGACTTGTGAACGGCTGTAATAAAAGTTATTGTAGGTGAGTACAATTTTGGGTGTTTCCTGACGAATTTACAAGACTCCAGGATGTAGATAGAATAAGGCTGAATGCATGAGTATATTTGCTTGTTAGGGACATTTTGATAAAATATTATCGACAATGTCAGTCTCTATTCTCTACAAAAGTGAGGTCAGAATTTCACGTATTTATAATTATTATTTTAAATTCAATTGCTTTACATTCAGATGATTATTATTATAAAGATATGATAATTTTTCTTCTTCATTTAAGTACAAATTGTACCTGCTGTAAGAGACAGCATTTAGACAGCTAAACATTTCAATCGTACCTACGGGTTAAATTGTAGGTTTTTTTATCTGAGGTGAGTTATATTTAGGTACTACCCTCCTTGGTATAATTAATTACGTTTATTATACACTAATTTTCACTTTAAAACCTGAGATTTTGCAAATACAAGCGGGATTTATTTTGTTCACGAAAGACGTTGGGCCGATACAGGCCGATAGTTTGTACGTAAATGGTCTAGCCTACCTTTCTCACTCTAACATCCGCATAAACTATGAACTTTCTCTTTTGCATTGCCAATCTATTCTAACGTTAGTTAGTCAGTTACTAAATCTATGGTTTGTATACAATAAATGAGCACAAACATTATTATAAGAGTTTAATCATCATCATCATTACAGCCGAACACAAGTCCACTGCTGAACATAGGCCTCCAAGCCTCCAAGGAATGCCACCAAGCACGGTCCCAAGGCCAGGTCGTCACTGCATCTAGCAGCCACTCGAGAACCTTTCTTCCCCATCGGTTATCGGTTCTTCGAGCAATATGGCCGGTCCGTTGCCACTTCACTACTTCTCTAATTCTACTGGGAATATACTCATTTTTAAGTCTATCACGCAGAGAAACCCCTAGCATAGCCATCTCCAAGCTCGCTGAGCAACCTTAAGCTTCCTCATGCGGCCAACATTGAAGGGTCTCAGATCCATATGTCATCACTGCCACTGGTTGTACAATCTTGTTTTCAAGTTTTGAGGTATACCTGACGAGAAGACGTCTTGTAATCTCCCGAGCACTGTCCAGCCAAGTTGAATCCGTCGATTGACCTCTCGGTCGAAGTTGGACTTACCTAATCGGAATATTTGTCCCAGGTAAACATACTCGTCAATAACATCGAGCTTAGTGCTCGCAACAACTACCGGCATCGGTGTGACGTTACACAAGTCTTTTGTTTTGTCCATTTTCATCTTAAGACCTATTCGTTGAGGTCAGTGAGCATAGTGCTTAGGTCCTCCAGCGATTCTGCCATAAGGACTATATCGTCGGCAAATCGAAGGTGAGTGATGTACTCGCCATTGACGTTAATACCGTATCCTTTCCAGTCCAGTAGCTTGAAAACGTCTTCCAATGCAGCGGTGAAGAGTTTCGGGGATATAACATCATTCTGTTTCACACCTCTCTGCAGTTGAGTAAGTTTCGTACTCTAGTTCTGTACTCGGATAGCCATCGTAGCCCTTCTGTACAAGCTCTTCAGCACTTCGATATTCCAACAGTCAACTTGGTACTGCTGAAGGGACTGCAGCACCGCCTAAATTTCGACGGAATCAAAGGCTTTCTTATAGTCCACATACGCAAAACAAAGTGGCATATTGTACTCTTCGGTCTTCTGTACAATTTGCCGAAGAGTATGTATGTGGTCTATGGTATTAAAGCCCTTTCGGAAACCGGCTTGTTAGGGAGACTGAAAGTCGTCGAGTCTGCATGCGAGACGATTTGTATTAATTTCCCGTCTAACAGCCATGAGAAAGCCATGAATGATCAGAGAGTTTTTGTGTTTTTCTGCGGTGGGTCTTGCAGAACTTAGCTCCGATCGCATGAACAGTTTCCACGAGCTTGTCATTCATATCGTCCACTGCATTGCAATCTTCTAGGCACTGAAAACGGTTTTGTAACTTGAGCTGAAAGATTTCGGGACTTTGGATTAGAGCACGAGGGTACGGAATGTTGACTTCATTGGATGAGACCTCTTCAACTTAATGTTTAGGTTTAGTGTTTCTCGAATCGTTTGGTGGTCATTACCAGTTTTCACCCTCGCGATCACTGGGACATCACTGAACAGTTGCCCTCTAGTCGTCATAATGAAGTCAATCTCATTTTTTATCAAACCGTCGGGGCTCGACCAGGTCCACTTCCTGGGAGCTGCTTCTGGAAGAAAGAGTACATCATAAAGAGTCCCTCTTTCTCCATGAAGTTGGCCAGCTGTTGGCCCCTTGGGTTCCGTTGCCCTATTCCAAATTTTCCTACCTTCAGCTCACCGTTCACTCTTGTGCCCAGTTTTGCGTTAAAGTCTCCCATTAACACCGCATAGTGGGTTTTGCAGGAATGCATGACTTTAGAGATATCCTCTACATTTTCTCCACCTCCTCATTGGGATCTGCCGAGGATGGTACGTTAACCTGTATGACCTTCAACGAATACCGTTTGGTGATTCTGAGTATAAGGTACACAATCCTCTTTGACACACTCACAAACTTTATTACGTTGTTAGCGAGAGACTTGTGGACAATAAATCAGACACCTCCTTGGGACAGATGGTCGCCTTTTCGGTGATAGAACAAATTCCTGGATTCGAGGATTACCGTGTCCTCCCCCTCTCTTCGGACCTCAGATAATTTTACAATATGAGTATATTGAATTACAGTAATAAATCACTGGCAAAAGTACTAATACTACTAGTCCCTATCTAAAGAAAAAGTAAAACGTCAAAGTCAAAGTATGTCAAAATCGAAAAGAAAACAAATTTTGTTGTTTGTTTTACTTTACATATTTTCATAATTATTTAGTTTTGAGTCATTCAATAATAATATTCTTGTTTATAATACTTTTGTTAGTGTTCAGCTCATAGTTATGCCCGATAAACGTACTCGGCAAACTGAAGATCTGGCTTCATTAGAACCAGCAGTAAGAGTGAAGCAATTAGCACATTACGGAACCATGGTTGAAGTAGACCCTAATGTACCACCAAGGAGGTAAACATATTTCTTTGCTTCAAACAAATAACTAAAAATATTAGTATTTTGTTAGTAACATAGTATAAATAATACTATGTGTTTGTATGAGAAATTAAAAAATATTTGGAGATCATGTGAAGTCTATCAGCACACATCATTGCAAGAGTGGTTTGTTCGCTGTTCGGAAACCATCTCAGTATTGAGAGGAGACCTGTGTCGAGCAGTAAAATGCAATGTAGGCTGTCACTTTTCTTACACTAAAAGTAAAAATGGGCCTTCTATCTCTCTTCCTCTGTATGTGATTAATCTCATCTTAACATCTCTTATCCTTATAATTTTAATTGCATTTTAAACTATTAAAGACTTCTTTATGGAATGTTGCTTTCTAGCTGTCGAAGTTTTGAGTCTGGATGTTTTGTAACTGTCTCTGCTTATATATAATATAGAAATTAGGCACTGTCATGATAATATTGAAAAAAAAATTTTTTAGTTAGTTCCATTGATGTAATCAATCAAAAGATGATGATGATGTTCAACACATCACAGTCATTGTATTTGTCATTTATATAAAGTGATTTTCTTTACTGTACATGTAATATCGTAGCTGCAACTGACAAGCTTCATATGTGATATTTGTAAGGTTTTGGAAAATTACAAAAACATGTTATTGAATAAACAATCAGAAACACTGAAAAGATTATTAATGCAATATAATATACATTTATTTGAGACATATTAGAAATACAAAATTTTCTATAAATATTTCTTATATGTGACAGTTTTTGATATTAGGTTTATCATTATGTGATCTTTAGGTTTACTTAGGTTACAACATACTTAGATAATAAAATTATTAGAAACTACTAGAACTATAAAATAATCATACATTACTTATGACAAACCAAAAGATATGGAAAGATATATATATACATAGGCTGCACTAAAAGTATCGGGAATGGAATATTTCCACTGTTCCTGCCATATTAAAATCTTTTTAATTGAAAAGTCCTTGGTTTTTTAAAATTGAATACCATTTATTTATTTAAAAAAAGATTCTCGGTCTTGTCACAAGGTTTTGTCAAACTTGTTTAGTCTTTGAGAAAATGGAATTGACTCGAGAAAATTCAAGAGCTATGATTTATTATGACTTTACGAAGTGGTTTAACACAAAAACAGTGTGTTGACTGGATGAATTCTGCATTTGGTGATGAAGCCCCATCCAAAACCACAATTTCAACGTGGACGTGTCAAGCTCAGTGATGATCCCCGTCAAGGTCGTCCAAAAACTGCAGTCACCCAAGAAAACGTTGATGCTGTGCGTAAGCTGATTGAGGAAGATCGACATGTGACATACCGCGAAATTCATGCAACTTTAGACATTGGCATGAGTCAAATACAAATAATCTTGCATGAACAATTAGGTGTAAAAAAGTTGTTTTCCCGATGGATACCGCATTCGCTCTGTGAAGAGCAAAAAGCGGCTCACGTTACTTGGCGCGTCAGAACTCTCGAAAGATTCCACACAGGATCCTCAAATGCTGTATACATCATCGTATCAGGTAACGAATCCTGGATATGCGCGTACGAACCCGAAACAAAAATCCAGTCATGAGTTTGGGTGTTCGAAAATGAGTTAAAGCAAAACAAAAATTGTTCGTTCACGGAGTGTTGCAAAAAAAATGGTGGCCACGTTTGTCTCCATAACCGGCCATGTTACGACTATTCCTCTTGAGGGACAAAGAAAGGTTAATGCAGAATGGTGTGCTAGCATTTGTTTGCGTGGACAGAGATTTTCATCACCTAAAGAAGCTGTGGACGCCTACAAAACGGCCATTTTGGAGACCCCAACTTCCGAATGGAATGGTTGCTTCAATGATTGGTTCCATCGTATGGGAAAATGTGTCAAATTTAGCGGAGAGTACTTCAAAAAGCAATAAATACATTCTTAAATAGTAATGTTGTGTCACTTCCTTGATTCCCGAAACTTTTAGTGCCGCCCTCGTATAATAAGTATAGTGTAATATATATATATAAGAATAGTGACTTAGTACTACATTTACAAAGTTGAAACATTCTTTGACAGAATGTGTTTTAATAACTTTCGAAACAGGGTTTAATTGTGGAATGGACCTACGAAAACACGAACATTGCTTCTCAACATTCTTTCTGCCCTCCACTACATCTTATTTAATATATCAAATCTTCTGTACAAACTGTTCTGTACTGTCGGTCCAAGGAAAATCTTTAGAACCCCTTGATTAAAAGTGCTCAATCCTCACATGTGTTCAAGAAACAAGTTTAGGAGCTCTCTAACCCTTCTCTCTTCCTCTTTTTATTTATGGTCATTGATCGACCTAAAGTATGTTGTCTTTTTTGTGCATAAGTTGGTATCCTATCTTATTTTAGCTGCAGCTATATTATTATGGTCATTATTATGGTTGTAGTATGAATGGGTTGGCTCAATAGGAGAAGCTTTCACAGAATACCAGCGTAATATAGCAGCTTAATGCTGCTGTGTTTTGTATTGTGGGTGTAGAGAACCTTTTTACTGGAAACAAGGTATTCCAGCTCAGTACACAGGGGTGATAACGCATCATCATTGTATTTCTTAATTGAGGATAAATGTAGATGTCTATGGGCCACAGCATCCACTTACCATCAGATTGACTGTGTGCTCATTTGTTACCCTTATTCTTTAAGAAAACCCTACCTCTCTGTAGTTTATTGATTTCCCTTTGTTTTCTATTTATTTCCTTGTCACTATTGAAAAACTCAGATTTAGATATACTATTGTTGCCTTCGTATATGCAAACCGTATTATTATTTCGCTCTAGTATTCCTATCTTTTCAACGAGAAAGTAGTTATCTTTATTGAAGTTTTCCAGCCAGTGATTTCTGAACACAGTAAAAGTGGTAGGTTTATATGGTAATTTATCACTATACTTACAACTTTTACTATGTTTTGACTCCTAAAATTATTTTTTACATGTTGTTCACACCACATACCTTACATTGTTAACACCATTTTCGTGCGACTGAAGATGGAACACAAATCCCTTAAGTGCATTTCTGGACATACAAATTTTTCTAAATGGTCAAAACACTTATGGAATTTGTTAGGATCATTTCTAGTTTGAATATTGCAAAGAGAACTTTATGAACATATAGAGAATGAAATGGAGATTATGTTTAGCGCAAAAAATGAAAAAATGGTATTTGTCGCTGTCAGTTGCAGCGACAATATGTATTATATACTACTAAAATGAATGAATTAATTTATAAATGCAGAACTAATTTTTAATTTATTATATTTATAGGTATTATAGATCTGGCTTAGAGATGGTAAGAATGGCAAATGTCTACTTGGCTGAGGGCAGTCTAGAAAATGCTTACATATTATATATGAAATTCCTGACTTTATTTCTGGATAAAATAAGGAAGCATCCTGACTATAATTCAGTTCCAGCCGATGTGAAGTCAGTTAACCAAGTTAAATTAAAAGAAGTGATGCCAAAGGCAGAAAAACTCAAACAGAAGCTTCTAGAACAATTTACCAAAGAGCATGAGCAGTATCAGGAAAATGAGGTACCTAATGGTGAAACCTTTCAAGTTTGATGTGGTAGAGACAGCTGCAGCTATATTATTATTGCAGCATGCATGTGTCAGCTTGTCTTGGGAATGACTACCTTCTCACTGAATACCAGTGTAAAATAGTTGCTTAATGCTGGTGTTTACTATAATGAATGTATAGAACTGGATACCCCTTTTACTGGTAGCAATGCATTGTATCTCCGTCACCCACTTATTCTATAAAACAAAGTTTTTTTTATTTTCGTGTACATCTACATATTTTCGGCTTTAGGTTAGCTTAGGGTGTCAGCAACGTCAAGCGCGACCTTCGTGTGGGAAAAATTCAAGAGCATCGCTACTTTGTGCGAGCTATCCGCATCATGTGGGTCCGTCTGACGGATACTCGACGCGTGACGTGCGCGGTTTCGTTTTATACAATACTTTAAGGCCTACAGGGCCTTAAAGTACATTCATATTTAATATATCAGTTCAGAGTAACTTATTATTATATTATTATTGACAATCATCTGTCACTTTATAGAATTCATTTGCTGTATCATATGACAGGCTGATTATTACACGGTCCATATTGTTGTTCATGTTTGCAGCGTGAGGAAAGGTTAGCATTGTTATTACCGTTTAATATGATTAATAAATTAAAAATTTTAGATATTATTTTAAGTTCAGGCCTCATCAATACCTTGAATTATGGAATAATATATATACTTAACATGGATGTCGTAAGAAGCGACAGAGAGAAACTAAAACGAAAGATGAAGAATGAAACGAAGCAGCACCATCTTCCTGATAACAACTCAAAGCAATAAAAACTTCAGTTGCCAAACCTCCTGCTAAGCGTGGCAACTATTGCAATTTATGGTAAAACGAGTGGATTTTTATATATGCTGTAATGGATAGATATATACTTTACATGGGATATGGCAAATAGATTCTAATTACGGTAATGCTCGTTAATAATAAATCAATATAAAATCCATCATGTTCTGCACAACTGTACTACTTCAACGCACATATGGTCGACGATCCCGCGACGGGTGCTACGGTCGCACACAACGGAGCCCGATTCATATATCGATCTGTTAGTTGGCTCTGTTGTCAAGATCCAGAAATGAAAGTTGAATTTCTAAAGCAAATAATAGAGATCATTAAAGAGGCCGATTGAAAATAAAACACAATCAAATTTAGGCAGGAAAGTATTATAATATTTTATTTCTTACAGAAAAAAAGGGTAATTGCTGAGGAAGCAAGGAAAAAACAAGAGCAAGAAGATGCAAAACTGGCTGTGTGTTTGCAGGCTGATGAAAATAGACAAGACGCCAATGTAAAAACTCCGCACTTACTACACACGGTATTAATGTGTATTTTTCTTATAAATAATATCCTTGTGAAAATTATCAGAATATACTGCAAGAAAGCACCATATTTCTTTTACTTATTATAAGCTAGTTCTTACCTAAAATTCCACTTATTGGCAAGTGTTGATGAAGCCCTAGACCTAGATGGTAAAACACATGGCACAGTCTTTTGTTAAGCTTAAGTGACAATGGACCCCCATATAGCTCAAAGAATAAACACTCAATCGGGAAGAAAGATTCTCAAGAGGCAACCGGAAAGCCAAGTGTAGGGCGACTAGTAAGAAATGCAGAAAATTGATGAATGCAGGTGGCTCAAGACCCGGGCTTTGAGGCACGTGAGACAGGTTTGTTTTTACCAGTGGATATGTTATGAACTGAAAAATGATGATGTAGATTTTAATTAAGTTTAAAACTAAAATTCGTTACACTTTTTTTTTTCCTAGTTTGGCAACTTCCTTCGTTTGATTGATGTAATTTCTTTATTTGGCGCTTTATGGCCATGCTTTGTGGCAATTAGTGAGGGATGCCTATGTTTACTAAACAAAAATCCAAAGTCGAAATAATGTTTTGTACGCCATTCAAATTATTATTCCTTGTGGATTCGATCCAGACCAGAATATTAAAATCACTACAGAGTCTTATTTGATATAGAGAATAGATCTGAATAATCAACCTCCTTCTCAAAATACCAATTAAATAGTTTGAGCATTTTACATATACCTACTAGCTGGCCAGGCAGACATTGCTCTGCTCTTTCCAAACGTTGACCTATAAAATAATTTGTAAATTTGCAATAAAAATATTGAGATTCACTTATCGGGATAAAAACTATCCTATCTCTCAAGTTAGACCAAACTGCACACAGTGTGCAAAATTTCATTGAAAACTGTTCAGTAGTTTAAGATTTCGTCGCGAAGAAACAATACAATGTGACACGTAATGTTTATACGAGTATATAAACATTACGTGTAAAACAACTATTTTTTAAGTAATAAATATCTAATTCCATTAAAAAAGTATTTTTTTGTAATAATAGTTTATTTCTGTTATATTATGAGTAGTTATATTTTGATAGGTTTTTTACTTACAGGAAGAATGGGCGGTAATACCATCAGCTCCCCCTGTTGATGGAGTATTGTATCCTGACGATTTCGCTTCCGAACCAGTTCGACCTCCGGCACATCACTATCAACCTGTGCCGCCACTGATACCGCCATCTCGACCTCACCAGTAATTTTATAATTTTGACAGAACTTATGTAATATTATTATAAAAAGTCCTATTCTTATTATTTTTCATGTCATTAAGATTTCATGCAAAATATTTTTTTTTTTTGCATTAACCCCATTTTAGAACATGAGTTAAAACATAAAATGTTATTTTTTGCGTAAAATAATATATCTATCTGAAATTATTATTTTAAACATTAGTTATATTACATTAATATTTTTGAAATAATAGTAGAAAAATGAGTTTATAGTGGTTTTTTGATACTTGAACTAGGTACTTTTTTATAGAATAAGGGTGACAAACGAGCACACAGTCCACCTGATGGTAAGTGGATGCTGTGGTCCATAGACATCTACATTTATCCTTAATTAAGTATCAAAATGCAAATGCGTTGTCATCTTTGAGGACTGAAATGGAATGTCTTGTTTCCAGTAAAAGGGGTCTCTGGTTCTCTACACTCACCATATGAAACACAGCAGCATTAAGTTGCTATTTTACGCCGGTACTCTGTGAGAGCGTGGTTTTACTATGGTTGAGCTATAATATAACTGCAGCATGGTTCTACCACGTATAAATTTGCCCCAAGACCACTATTAAACACCATCATACTATGTTTGTTCACGCATGGATAATGGATGCCATACACGATCCAGTTTACCGTGAAGCTTGTAGCGCGCTTGAAGCGGCGTCAAGTTTGCAGTGCATCCATATAGACCACTCACGTTTAAGTTGGCCGTCAAGTTTGCATTATGCCTCATCAGTTGAAACCAAGGCGACTCTCGCTTATTTGCTCCGACTACCGTCATGCATACTTGACCGCTCATGCACACGTTCAAGTTTGCATGACGCTGCAAGCTTGATCAAGTCGGCAGAATCGAAATTCAATTTTTGCTTCAAGTAGACTTGTCATGCACACTGATAGCCATACACCGTCAAGTTTACCGGACGCCGCTTGAAGCGTGTTGCAAACTTGAGTAGATCGTGTATGGCATCCATAAGTTGTTGTCCGGCACTTGTGCAGTGAGGCTGCGGCGGCGGGCGGTGCGGGCGGCGCGGGCGGCGCGGGGGGCGCGGGCGGCGCGCTGCGCGGCGTGCTGGTGCCGGGCGCGCTGCTGGCGCGCTTCCAGGCGCTGGCCGCGCGCAACACGGCGCGCAACCTCGAGCTCTGCGGCATACTCGCCGGCGTGCTGGTGCTCTCTCACTGCTGCACTACACTACCCTTATACATCTCCTTCGATTATACACATCTACAAACAATGAACGAGGAAATACAGACAAAGCAAAACAATATATTGCAGGGGAATCAGGAAGGGAGGCCCTAAACGAAAGTTTATCCACCAAATTGGCGATATATTGAAAACAGGCCAGGCTAAGAGTCCCCTTAACCGACGAGCATGTATGTGTCGATATATGAATGTGGACAAGACGAGAGAGGTGTGTCAGGATCGTGCCAAATGGAAGTCTGTAGTCTCTGCCTACCCCTCTGTATGTACACACACACACACACATATATATATATATATATATATATATATTTTTTTTTTTTCAAAAATATCGATATACCCCGTTTTGCAAATTTTAAAAATACGTGTACCTAGTCAGGTCATGAGTATTGTCACACAGTAAAAACTTTTCTTTTAGAATGCTGGCCACAAAAAAGTTTATTGAATTCGAATTTCGAATTGTTCATGAAAATAAAACTGTATACTTTTTAGAATTTTAATCATTTTTAAATATGGAGTGGACGCTTAAAGAAGACCGTGTTGCAGTTATTGCGTTGCATCGTTGCGGTTACGCGCCAATTCAAATTTTTGATATACTGAAAAATTTGAATATAACCAAAAGATTCATTTATCGTACCATCAAACGATACAATGAAGACTCTACTGTAGATGACAGGTCAAGAAGTGGTCGCCCTCAGTCTGTTAGGACTCCAACAATGATAAAAGCTGCGAATTCAAAGAAATCCCAAACATAAACAGAAACTGTTGGCCCTTCAGATGGGGTGAAGCAGAACCACGGTGAAAAGGGTGTTAAATGACTAAAAGACTTAGGGGCTTCGGGCATATCGAAGAAAAACAGGACATCGTTTGAATGCTCGTCTAATGGACCTAAAACTGAAGAGATGCTGCGCTTTGTTGAAGCGGTACGCGGGAAAAAAATATCGGGAAATTCTTTTTTCGAATGAAAAAATTTTTACCGTAGAAGAGAGCTACAACAAACAAAATGATAAGGTGTACGCACACAGTAGTGAAGAAGCGAGCAACCGTATTCCGCGTGTCCAACGAGGTCATTTTCCATCCTCGCTCATGGTATGGTTGGGAGTTTCTTATTGGGGCTTAACAGAAGTACATTTTTGTGAGAAAGGTGTAAAAACGAATGCAGTTGTGTATCAAAATACAGTCCTGACGAACCTTGTGGAACCTGTTTCTCATACCATGTTCAATAACAGGCACTGGGCATTCCAACAAGATTCGGCGCCAGCTCATAGAGCGAAGAGTACACAAGACTGGCTGGCGGCGCGTGAAATCGACTTCATCCGGCACGAAGACTGGCCCTCCTCCAGTCCAGATTTGAATCCGTTAGATTACAAGATATGGCAACACTTGGAGGAAAAGGCGTGCTCAAAGCCTCATCCCAATTTGGAGGCACTCAAGACATCCTTGATTAAGGCAGCCGCCAATATTGACATGGACCTCGTTCGTGCTGCGATAGACGACTGGCCGCGCAGATTGAAGGCCTGTATTCAAAATCACGGAGGTCATTTTGAATAAACTTTAGTGTCATAAGAATCTATGTTTTGTTAAGTTCATTTTGCTATATAAATGGTTACATAATGAATAAACTTGTTTCATTTATTTTATATTAAACATGTGACAGAATTTATGACCTGACTAGGTATATGAAATAGAATGTGATTTATAGGCAACAACTAAAGCATACACGCGCTCGTGTGTGGAATGAATGCGCGGAGCTCTTGTCTACTATTTACTACCTTAATAACACGTTCACTACGTGACGTAAATTATGATTCCAATTTTTCCTTCGCAAACTTAAGACTATCTATACTAATATAATAAAGCGGGAAGGCTTTTTTTTTTGTTTATTTAAGTACGCTAATCTTTGGAACTACTAGTCAAATTTGTTAAATTCTTTTTATATGATAGCCAGATTTACAAGGAATATATAGGCTATCGAGCATTAGGCTACACCTCCCAGCTAGCCTTTGTTAAGGAAGTCAGAATAAAAAGAGCTCCTTAAATGATTCATCCGCGTGCGCTGGCGTAATGGTTAGTGATACGTAAATACAATGTTCTACCAAAATATAGATCTTTACTCCATCTAAAAAAGTCCCCATAAGGCTATTTCTTATACATAAGCCACAATAAGGTATTTCGAGACAAAAGTTATTAAAAATTAAAAAGTGATTTATGAGCGTTATTATTATACATGGCCTATTAATCCTTACAAACGAAAGTTACTTCATTATCGAGACAATTTTATGAAGATAAACTTTGCTCTTTATAACATGTTATTTGGACGTATAGTCGTACGAGTCCACTGTTGAACTTAGACCTCCGCCAAGGAGGACAACATAATGCCACAAAACACGGTCCTGAGCCACCTGCTATTAGAAGGCGAAGTGTAGGGCGGCCCCCACTAGATATACCTACACCGCTACCATACGGCAAGCCTTTTACTTAATATTTGAATTTCAGGAGCGGGATCGGCTAAAGATCACTCACGTGATAGTTCCTAAGCAGACTGGCACCGCGGACTCGTGCAGCACCAATAACGAAGAGGAAATATTCCATTATCAGGATCAACACAATCTTATTACACTCGGATGGATTCACGTAAGTATCCGTCTGTGTATTATGTGGATAACTGCTAATAATTTGGGAAGCTATATCAGCAACTGTGCAGGAAATATTATATTGTCAAAAGTGTATGCTCACTATAATAAAGTGATAATATATTTTAAGATGAACATGAACAAAACGAAGATAATGTGTAATGTCCATGTCACATCTATGCCGGTAGTTGATGGGAGTCAAACAAGCTCGAAGTTGTTGACGAGTATGTTTACCTGGGACAAATAGTCCGACTAGGTAAGTCCAACTTCGACTGAGAGGTCAATCGACGGATTCAACTCGGTTGGGCAGCGTTCGGGAAATTACGACACACCTCAAAACCTAAAAACGAGACTGTACATCCTGTGCGTGTTGCCAGTGATGACCTATGGAACTGAGACGTGGTCCTTTACTACTGATCGTATGAGGACGCTCAAGGTTGCTCAGCGAGGTATTAACAGGGCTATGCTCGGGGTTTCTTTGCGTGATAAACTTAGAAATGAGGATATTCGCAGTAGCACCAGAGTGATCGATATAGCCCAACGGATTAGTAAGCTGAAATGGCAATGGGCCGGCCATATAGCTCGAAGAACCGACAACCGAATGAGAAGAAAGGTTTTCGAGTGGTAGCCTGGTACCGGTAGACGAAGTGTAAGATGAACCCCCACTAGATGGAGTGACGACCTGGTAAGATATGCAGGTAGACGATAGATGCAGGTGGCTCAGGACCGTGCTTTGTGGCATTCCTTGGGTGAGGCATATTTTCAGCAGTGGACTTGTAAAGGGCTGTAATGATGATGATAAAGCCATGTTTAATGCCGACGTCACACCTATGTTAGTATTTGTTAGGTTAAGTTGTTGACGAGTATGTTTACAAGATGTGTGTAATGTATGAGACGATGATACGATGTATGTGTATGAGAGGTCAATACGATGATTTAACTCTAGCGGGCAGCGTTCGAGAGATTACGAGATATCTCAAAATTTTAAAAGGAGTGTATACAAACAGCGCGTGTTGCCAATGATGACATAGTATGGATTTGAGACGTGGTCTTTTACTGCTAGCTGTATGGCTTTTTACGTGGTAGAGCCATGCTGCAGCTATATTAGTAGTATAGTTGTAGCACGAATGGGTCGGCTCGACCGGGGAAGGACCACACTCTCACAGAATACCAGCGTAAAATGTCAGCTTGACACTGCTGTTTCGTATGGTGAGTGTAGAGAACCGGAGACCCTTTTTACTGGAAACTAGGCATTCTATCTTAGTCCTCACGGGTGAGAACGCATCTGCATTTTGATCCTTTATTGAGGATAGATGTAGATGTCTATGGGTCACAGCAACCACTTACCATCAGGTGAACTGTGTACTCGTTTGTCACCCTAACCTATAAAAAATGAGAAAGTTCAAGGTCGCTTAGCGAGCTATGATCTAAGTTTCTCATAATAAAGAATTCTGCAGTAGAAACAGAGTAATCGCCTTAACCCTATGGATTAATAACATAAATTGGCATTGGCTCAGCCATATAGCTCGTAGAACTGACAGGCATTGGCTAATACTGGTTTATATAGATACTCAGGACTGTGCTTTGTGACATTCCTTGTGGAATACCTGTGTTCTGTAATGGACTTGTGATGGACTGTAATGATTATGATTATGATGGGGTGCCCATATCATTTCGAGATCTGATTACAACTCCATAATAACTGCAGCTGCCAAACCACCTGCCAAGCATGTCAACTATGGCAAAAATGTCCCCTATGACGTTATTTGTATATATCTCTATGTTCAGTAGTAAACTTTTGATAGGCTTCATTAAATAATGATGAATGAAAGTTACTTAGATGAATTAAAGTACTACTGTAGTGGTACCTGCTTGTGTTTACCTGCCCATGCACGATGCAATACACATTACGTGATATGATGTAAACTTCTAGCTTTACAGCCCTGTATCCTAACAATTTGTATTTTAACACAAATGTTGACTTTCACTGGGATTGGAACAGAAGTCCCAGATACATAGTATCCAAGACTGTAACTATTAGGTTACATAGTCTTACTGTATTTTGCATTGAGTTATTAACAATTTTGAGTTATTATTGTACTATTTTATTGTATTTCAGACTCATCCAACACAAACTGCTTTCCTCTCATCAGTAGACCTACACACGCAATGCTCGTATCAGCTGATGATGCCTGAAGCCATTGCTATAGTCTGTGCACCAAAATATAACGAGTAAGTGTTGTTAATGCTCAATAAATTATTTTGACTGTTTGTTTTATACATTGGAATTGCTTTAAAAACTAACTTATAGTCTAAGTAAGTAAGTAAGTAAGTAAGTCTAAGTAAGTAAGTAAGTCTAAGTGTGCTTTGTTGGAAGTGTAGTTAACTTCAAACAAATGACTACAGATGCGTTGTAATCTCTGAGAACAAAGATGGTATGCCTCACAGCCACAGGTTATTATAGTAAATATAACATTGCTTTGACACAAGTTGTATCCTTAAACCATTTGCAATTTAACCATGTAATATATAAATTTATTAATTTGTACATTTACTTATTAATTTATAAATTTACTAATTTGTACATTTACTTATTAATTTATAGATTTATTAATTTGTACATTTACTTATTAATTTATAAATTTACTAATTTGTACATTTACTTATTAATTTATAGATTTATTAATTTGTACATTTACTTATTAATTTATAAATTTACTAATTTGTACATTTACTTATTAATTTATAGATTTATTAATTTGTACATTTACTTATTAATTTATAAATTTACTAATTTGTACATTGACTTATTAATTTATAGATTTATTAATTTGTACATTTACTTATTAATTTATAAATTTACTAATTTGTACATTTACTTATTAATTTATAGATTTATTAATTTGTACATTTACTTATTAATTTATAAATTTACTAATTTGTACATTTACTTATTAATTTATAGATTTATTAATTTGTACATTTACTTATTAATTTATAAATTTACTAATTTGTACATTTACTTATTAATTTATAGATTTATTAATTTGTACATTAACTTATTAATTTATAAATTTATTATTTTGTACATTTACTTATTAATTTATGAATTTATTAATTTGTACATTGCTTATTATCATTTATTTAGTGTCGATTGTAGACTTTACCGTAGCAATGGTATAGCTTGCTTGGCTTATATAAAAGCCTAAAGTCAAAATTATTTAGGCATTTGATTATATTCTGTTTCAGAATTGGTTATTTTGCGTTGACACCAGAATACGGAATGCAATTCATCTCCAATTGCAGACAGACTGGTTTTCATCCACACCCCAACGACCCACCCTTGTTTTATGTAAGTGTGTTTTTAACATAATATGTTGATGATAAAGCCACGTGATCGCAACTAAACTAATTCTCAAATGTTGTGTATTTCAAATTCACGTATTTTGTGTTTTATTAATTCCGTTAATCTTATGAAGTCACAGGCATCCTTGCTACTGCTGTCTATAAGAGCAGGAAAAAGTTCGCCGCACTACTACAGTGTTTGTTGGCGCACTTCATTGATTTTTCATACATGCAGGCTTCCTTACGATGTTTTCCTTCACCGCTGAGTGCGTAGTATAAAGCGCTTAAAGTGTGTATTAAAATTTTCAGTGGTGACGACAGATTGAATTGAGTTGGACACTTTCTATGAGATTTAGGGCGAACAGACGTTGGAAACAAATCGTAGCTTTACTAATAAAAGTTAATAAAGTAATAAACTGTTTATAAAATATTATTTATTTACGTTAAGAAGAAAAGACAACATAATGAATCAACTATGCAGTGGCGGTGTAAGAATATCCACTACCCCATATCGTCGTAAGAAGCCACACAGGGAAACTGAAACAGGAGATGGGCCGCAGCATCTTCCGGATAATAACTTAAAATTAAAAATAAATTAAACACGCCTGCCAAGCGTGGCAACTGTGGCAAAATCTCTCCTATAAGGCAACTATGGGAGAGGTCTGTGTTCAGCAGTGGACTTTTATATGCCGTAATGGTTGGTTGGGTGGATCATAAGAAGTAATTTTATATATATATACAGGGTCATTTTTAATTTACTGAAGACCTTTTGGGAATATATTGGTTACATCATTACAAACAATTTTAGTGAAATCACTCTTCACATAATATAATACATTTACGAAAAAACTACTTTTAAGGTTTTGTTGTCATGTCTGACTCCTTTTAAGTCTGTATTTTGTAGTACCTAAACAATGTCAGAATAAATCGTCAAAGAAAATGCCTAAATAAGGCATTTTTACACTTGATACAGTATCAAACATTGTGTTGAAATCATTAAACATAATTAAATGAGCAAATGACATTCAAAAAAAACCACAAATATTAAAATTTATAATAAGTAAGAATGACCGAAGGGCCGGTCGACGCCCGCGCTCAGCTGATTGCGTTGCGAGTAGGGTTACCAGATGAAAAAATTAAAAGTCCGGAGAAGAGGCCTGATTTCCATTTAAAAATCCTGAGATTGTTTTACAGTTTGAGAAGAAAACCTTACTTAAAAAGGTATCTTCACATATTAAGTATGATAAAACTGTTTAAGTACCTACTTGGATAAATAAGTTTTCATTTTAATTGTGGAATTATTACCAAAGGAAAATTATTTTTAGTTTGTTTAACTTTTTATTAAGAGATCCTTTAAAATGTAAGCTGTATTATATTGAAAGTTCTAAAAATCCTGAGATTTCATGAGATTTGCAAAATCCAGCCGCAATCCTGAGAAGTCTAAAAATCCTGAAATCTCAGGACAAATCCTGAGATATGGTAACCCTAGTTGCGAGAGCCTACTAAACCATTCATCACTGTGCCTATTGCACCAGGGTGCCACTTTAAATGACTTTACATTAACTTTTCTTATACTTCTTCATTTTGCATAAAACCATTTGATGAACTATTTGATTCTTTTATTAATTTCTTTAAGAATTAATAGACATTCTTTAATAGACATTTAGGTAGTTTTTTTACGAATACTGTTTGCTAGCAACTCTGCCTGCATCCAAGAGGCAACGCTTCAACGTCGCACATGCGGCGGCCCAAGGCCAAGCCAACGATATATTATAACGTCGACACAGGTGTCACCGTCCTCAAAGGCGCCGCCTGCCCTTTTCGGTTTGCAGGCATCGATTTGGTGATCGATGTTTGCAGCACGTGCAAATTAAATGAGTATTATTAACTATTTTTTTTATTTAATGTAAGTTGTATTTAAAAAAATGGAAGCAGGTTAAAATAATTACAAATATTACAATAAAATATTTATAATGATTAAATACAAATTAACAGTAATTGAATAAAGATATTAAGGTATAATGGTTCATTAAAAATATTAAAATACAAATTTAAAAATTAGACTTACCTAGGTACTTGGTTCATGTGGATTTTCATAGCACCACAAGTATTCATTGTGCGAATTAAATAGTCCTATTCTGCCAAATGTTGCTTTATCAGTCCATAAAATGTTGGCTCGTTCAGCAGCTAGTAACCAGTTACAAAATGTAACTCGCGCTGGTTTGGCAGCTTCGCTGAGTTCATGAACACGATGCAAGTGGAAAGGGTACTTCCCTTCATTGTGTGACACTCCATGCGTAGTACTCTGACACATTGAACTGTCGGGCTGCCTCATAAGTGCTCGCTGCTGGATTTTGTTCAAAAAACTGCAGTATGTCTTCTTGCTCACGTACTGTGCGCCGCGGTGGACGACCACGATCGATTGATACAGGCTGGAATTGCCCGTAATCTCGCAATCGCTGTGAAGTACCTAGCATCGTAGCGTAGCTCGGTGCACGTGAGTTGGGAAATCGCCTTGAATATTCACGGCAGACTTCACTAACGTTATCATTGCAAATTGCTAAAATTCGCACCATTTCGGTATACTCAATATTTGAGTATCGGTATGCCATTGTAACAACGCGTAACGTTCGCGATATTAATCTCACAACGGAAGGAGAAAAGTCGCGGGCGCACAAAAGGCGACTGACCGACTGACGACACAGATAATTAGGTCAAGTTCAAATGAGCAAGCGCCGCCTCCTACACCCCTCCACCCCTACCCCGCCACGCGCATTATTTAGCTACTAGCTGTTCCCCGCGACTTCGTTCGCGTGTTAGGGTTTTTATGTTTTTGCGCGGAACCCTAATTCTTTTTCTAAAATGAAAGTAGCCTAAGTTACTCTTTATGAAATCAGCTATCTGCCAGTGAAAGTCCCGTCAAAATCGGTCCAGCCGTTTCAGAGATTACCCGGAACAAACAGACAGACAGACAGACAGACAGACAAAAATTTTAAAAATTGTATTTTAGTTATAGGTACCGTATTTACTTTCATATGCATTTAGTAATAAACTGTAATTTTGACATTACAAACAGACACTTCAATTTTATTTATTTGTATAGATTAGGACTATTGCCGTTTAGAAGGTCCAATTAAAATATTTTTATTTTTGTATGAAAATAAAAATTGAAGAAATATAATTTCTTTTCTTACAGATGTTGTTGTTATGATGTAAATAATATATTCCCAAAAGGTCTTCAGTAAATTAAAAATTACCCTGTATATATATATCATCATTCATCATTACAGCCCTTCACAAGTCCACTGCTGAACATAGGCCTCCCCCAAAGAATGCCACAAAGCACGGTCCTGAGCCACCTGCATCCATCGACTTCCTGCATATCTTACCAGGTTGTCACTCCATCTAGTGGGGGGACGCCCTACACTTCGCCTGCCGGTACGAGGCTGCCACTCGAGAACCTTTCTTCCCCATCGGTTGTCGGTTCTTCGAGCTATATGGCCGGCCCATTGCCACTTCAGCCTACTAATCCGTTGGGCTATGTCGGTCACTCTGGTTCTACTGCGGATATCCTCATTTCTGAGTTTATCACGCAGACAAACTCCGAGCATAGCCCTCTCCATAGCTCGCTGAGCGACCTTGAGCTTCCTCATCCGGCCAGCAGTGAAGGACCACGTCTCAGTTCCGTATGTCATCACTGGCAACACGCACTGGGTGTACAGTCTCGTTTTCAAGGTTTGAGGTATACCTGACGAGAAGATGTGCCGTAATTTCCCGAACGCTGCCCAACCAATTTGAATCCGTCGATTGACCTCTCGGTCGAAGTTGGACTTACCTAGTCGGACTATTTGTCCCAGGTAAACATACTCGTCAACAACTTCGAGCGTATTGTTCCCAACAACTACCGGCATAGGTGTGACATGGACATTAAACATGATCTTTGTTTTGTCCATGTTCATCTTAAGACCTATCCGTTGGGAAACACTATTGAGATCATTGAGCATAGTGCTTAGGTCCTCCAGCGATTCTGCCATAAGGACTATATCGTCGGCAAATCGAAGGTGAGTGATGTACTCGCCATTGATGTTGATACCGTATCCTTTCCAGTCCAGAAGGTTGAAAACGTCTTCCAATGCAGCGGTGAAGAGTTTCGGGGATATGACGTCACCCTGTCTTACACCTCTCTGCAATTGGATAGGTTTCGTACTCTGGTTCTGTACTCGGATAGCCATCGTAGCTCTACTGTACAAGCACTTCAACACTTCGATATACCGACAGTCAACTTGGCACCGCTGAAGGGACTGCAGAACCGCCCAAATTTCGACGGATTCAAAGGCTTTCTCATAGTCCACATACGCCAGACATAGTGGCAAATTGTACTCCTCGGACTTCTGTACAATTTGGCGAAGGGTATGTATGTGGTCTATGGTGCTAAAGCCTTTTCGGAAACCGGCTTGTTCGGGAGGCTGGAAGTCGTCAAGTCTGCGCGCGAGACGATTCGTAATGACTCTCGAAAACAGCACGTAGAAGCGGCTCAGAAGGGAAATCGGTCTGTAGTTCTTTAAGAGAGCGTTGTCGCCTTTCTTGAAGAACAAGACCACCGCACTTCTGCTCCACGCCTCCGGTGTAATGCCACCATGGTGGACGGAATTAAAGAGCTTCTGAAGGACTTCAAGTACCAGTTTTCCACCCGCTTTCAGAAGCTCCGCTGTAATTCCATCCTCGCCTGGAGCCTTGCCGTTTTTAAGGTGCTGGAGAGCCATTCTAATCTCGCTCAGACTGACGTCCGGGATATCATCGGAATAATGTCGGATAAGACTCGCTCTTGGATCGTTACTCACACTTGCGTGCGGCTCCAACGATGATGTGTACAGCTGCCCATAGAACCTCTCAATCTCACTCAAAATTTCAGGTGCCCCGGAAACGATGCTGCCACATTCGGTCTTCAGCTTTGACAGTTGGCTCTTTCTGGCAGACAGATCTCTGGCAAAGACTTTGGAGCATTGGTTCCGCTCGATCGCTTCTTCAATACGAGCTGTATTGAAGTTGCGTAAGTCCCGCCGCATGCATTTGGAGATCTGTCTGTTCAGTTGCCTGTATGCTGTCAAATCTGTTGAAGAATGTAGCTTCATCTCCCGTCTAACAGCCATGAGATTAAGAGTGTGATCGGAGCGTTTTTGTGTTCTTCTGCGGCGGGTCTTGCAGAACTTAGCTCCGACCGCATGGACAGTTTCCACGAGCTTGTCATTTATATCGTCCACTTCATTGCAGTCTTCTAGGCACTGAAAACGGTTTTGTAACTCGAGCTGAAAGGTTTCGGGACTTTGGAACAGAGCACGAGGGGGACGGAGCGTTGACTTCACTAGACGAGACCTCTCCAACTTAACGTTTAGGTTCAGTGTGCCGTTTAGGTTCGGTGATCGCTGCCGGTTTTCACCCTCGCGATCACTGAGACATCACTGAACAGTTGTCGTCTGGTCGTCATAATGAAGTCAATCTCATTTTTTGTCGAACCGTCGGGGCTCGACCAGGTCCACTTCCTGTGGGGCCGCTTCTGGAAGAAAGAGTTCATCATAAAGAGTCCCTCTTTCTCCATGAAGTTGGCCAGCTGGCCCACTTTCAGCTCACCGTTCTCTCTTGTGCCTAGTTTTGCATTGAAGTCTCCCATTAACACCGTATATTGGGTTTTGGAGGAATTCATGGCTCTAGAGATTTCCTCATACATTTCCACCACCTCCTGATCGGGGTGTGCCGAGGTTGGTGCGTAAACCTGTATGACCTTCAGCGAATACCGTTTAGTGATTCTGAGTATAAGGTACGCAACCCTCGTCGACACACTCAATCTTTACAACGTTGTTAACGAGAGACTTGTGGACGATAAATCCGACACCTCCTTGGGACAGATGGTCGCCCTCCCGGTGATAGAGCAAGTTGCCGGATTCGAGGATTACCATGTCCTCCCCCTCTCTTCGGACTTCGGATAATCCTATAATATGCCAGCGTAACTTGTCTATCTCTTCTTCCAGCTCCACAATCTTCTCGTCAGTCCTCAGGGTACGTGCGTTGTATGTTGCCAGGTCGAGTCGTCTTAGGTGGCAACCGAACCTCCACCGGAGATTCTTAGCACCCCCTGCCCCGCCGTTACCATGGTCGCCACCGTAGCCAGGAATAGCGGGGCCGCCGGGTACTAGGGGCCGTCTCTTCGTAACTTTCATTATGGGGGGTATATTGCCATAGTTGCCACGCTTAGCGAGCGGGTTGGCAACCGCAGTTTTTTTTTCATTGTATTTTTGCCGTTACCAGGAAGATGCTGCTGCCCATCTCCTGCCTGTTTCCCTTTGTCGCCTTTTACGACACCCACGGGAAGATATGGGGTAGTGGATATTCTTAACCGCCACTACATATATAGATATATATACTTTTGTTGGAAAAAAGTAATAAATTTTATTTTTAATTGCAGAATGTCACACACATACAGCTTGACAAGACCGCGCCGGTGGAAATGATAGATCTACGGAGATGAATAGTTAATTCATGTGATATTGTGATATTGTAACCGTCACAGCTTCCTACTGCATTTATATTGAGTCAATTTGGTCAGTGCACCTTCTTACAAAACTTCATAGTGATTGATTGACATTTTAATATTTAAAAAAAAAAGTTATTAGTTACTTGTTGCTATTAGAGATGAGTTTGATGGATTACTGGTCTTAGTAATCTGTCACAGTCCACCTGGTAATAACAAACTGGATGCAGTAATCGTATGGATTACACCTATGTTTATCCTCGGAGGAGAGACCGGTCTAAAGACCATACCAGCGTAAAATAGCAGCTCAATGCTGCTGTGTTTCGTATGGTGAGTGTAGAGAATTGGAGACCCTTTTTACGGGAAACGAGGCGTTCCATCTTAGTCCTCAGGAGTGACAAAGCATCTGCGTTTTGATCTTAATTGAGGATAAATGTAGTTGTCTATGGGCTACAACATACACTTATCATCAGGTGGACTGTGTGCTCGTTTGTCACCATTATTCTATAAAAAAGGGGCTAGACGCAGTTTTCTTGGTAAACTTTTTGCGACTAAGTACCGTATCTATCTTTTTTTTCAATTAATGGGCTGAAATTCATTTGCAAAACGTGAAGAAAATAGATACAAATAGCTGAACCAGTATAAAGCTACAAGTTGAACTGTTGTTTTAATTGTAATTATAAAATTGTGAATGGCGACTTTCGAATAGATCGATTGGAGTTGTTAATACAGTTCGTATAAAAATAGGAACCAAATACTCTCTTGGCACAACAAGTAGTAAAATTAAAATGTGTACAACCAACTTCATGTAAATAAAAAATGAGAACATCATCAATGTAATCGAAGTCAATTAAATACGCATTATTAAGGATAACTCAAAAACTACTGGTCAGATCTTGATCAAATTTATATGGGATCATATGAGATCAGCACCAACTTTCAAATAAAAAGAAACAATTTTCAAAATCGGTTCACCTTGAAAAAAGTTCTGAAAACACATAAAAAATACAGTCGAATTGAGAACCTCCCTTTTTTGAAGTCGGTTGAATACCGATTGGTTTGCACTCGTAAAATTTCGCCACGCAAAATTAGAAAAGTTTTTACCTCCTCTTCCCTTGGTGACTCTACCTTCCGTTAACTACTAAATATAAATGGAACTATGCAATGTTACTATGCAGGAGCTTTTTAAGAAGGTCGCACGTATGTATAGTGCACATATTTAATTAAAGTATGATCTAGTGAATACCAAAAACAATAAAAATAATAATTTTACACGCTTTATATAACTTGCATGTTAACGCCACATGTGTATAAATATGTTTAATTTAATTTTGTTACAAGAAATATATATTAATTTCAAATAGTTCTGTTTTCTTTAAAATTTGAATTGTTAAAATTGATTTCCTTTCACCACACAATAAATAATAGTACAAAAACTTTCACTAGAAATAATCGTTAATTCTGAAATAGTGATTCGTAAGCATTAAAAAATAACAATTTTACAAGGACATTGTTTTATACATAATTTATATTGTCTTATACTTCGCATTTTATTTGCATTTCTTCTTGTTGACGCAACATTTTTAAAGATAACATGATCCTTATTTCGACATAAATAATTCATGTGTCACAGCAGGCGCCAATGTTGTGTAATAGGAAGCATAGCTTGAAGACTGAGCTTATTAATTTAGACTATCGCTTAAAATATTCGAATGTATTTGTAACTGTCGTATTAACAACACTTGCTTCATGTAATGTTGTAAGTTGTGATATTATACCAATATTCGTGTTGTATCTAGTGCTGCCAGACGCACTGCATGTCGTAGTAATTTAACTACCTATTGAATATTGAATATTATTATCCTTTGTATTGTTACAATTTTTGTTATAGTAGTTTTACTATTGTAATAAACGATATTGAATTTATTTATGTTGACGTTGATACCCAATATTTAAAATCCAATATTGAAAAAGTAAAACAAATTGAAATTAAATCTAAATTAGTTTCTAATCCTGTTTCGATTGCATTAGTTGTTCGGTTGTTAGTTTGTGTTTAAATTTTATAAAACTTTAGTTACTTATATTTAATTGTTTACTTTTACCCACACATTTATTTAATATTCTGTATGCTCGAATGGATTACACCTTTACTTTTGTTTGTTAATTGTTTAATTTCTCGTAAGCGATTTGTAATCTTTTGAGAAATAAATAAGATCTTAAACCTATATTGTTTATTGTTGAAATGTCAATTTAAGATATTCATAGTAAAGGAAACTAAATATTAGTAACAATTTGACAAAAAAAAATATTTTTTAATGTAACTTATCGAAATATAACTGCAGATTGTAGAACTCGTCCATAGACAAACGGTGTCTCGTCCTGTGCGTCATTGCTGTTATTTTGATTTTTTGACAATTGTTTAAAAATACAAATGTACAAATCGCGGCACGTAAGTCTAGCACTGAACGAAACGTGGAGGGGATAGCTGCGCATGGGTACTGTCGCGCACGCAATATAATCATTACTTTAATTAATTAATAGTATTTAGCTATTATTAGCGTATTTGTAGACTCTGCTGTCCTTTTTTGGATTTTCCCTAAGTCACTGATTATACCGTTTAATTTCATATTTCCTGCCTTAATAACTTCTGCAGTTTGTTTTATCTGACTTAAATTTACAGTGCCGCTGTCGGAATGACTAAGTAAAATACTCGTAGCTTCGCCAATCTCACTTTTGACTTGTTTTAAGGAATCAATTAATTCATAAGATTCTCTTTTCAAAAAATAATGCACGTCATACACCATTTTCTGTGCCTGTCTTTTCAAAACAGTATTTCTTCTAGGTATATTCACTGTCTAGGCATATTAACAAGAATAACAATACAATTCAGAACGGGACTGTACACTGGAAATGCGCGGGGCGTCGTATCAGTACGGGGGACGGAATGCGCCTGGAAAGGTGGAGAGCCAATCAGCGCGTGTGAACGATACGCAGGCCCGCTTACTACCCCATGAAACCTTATTTTCGGCTTCTTCACCGCTAGACTTTCGTGCCGCTACTTATACCGCGGAGTTTTGTAACGGCATCCAAAAAGAGAATCGTTCCGGTAGAAAATCAGATAATCATTAATAAATGACGCAGTTTTTAATGGACGAATTATATAATTTGCCAGAGAGATGAATAAAATTGACTAACAAAATAGATGATTATATTTTCAACATCTCAATCTTCACAATAAAATATCGTACTTAAAATGTCACAATGTTTTCGCATTATATTTCCTTAATTATTTTTAAATTTTTACGCACATAATATAGCTAGGTATATTATGCAATCAAGTGCATGTAATTAAAGAAAGTAAATAAAGGAGAAATATTAATGCCAGAAATAAATATCGGCTATATCATCAAAATAATATGATGACGCTTTTTCTTATATTTTATGTTACTGTTGTGATAACATGTTATTTTTCTATATCTATGATATGTTCAAAACTTATATAAATTATGGTAATAAGGTATCTAAGGTATCATTTTTATCTGTTACATTTGTAATAAAGCGAGTTTACTGCAAGCGAGCTCTGTTGTATTATAGTTATTCGTTTTTAAAATTTATACAAATTTTGTTTTTCATACAGAAGCTTTAAGGTTTACGACATGATGTGTTGTTTTGTTTAAAATTTATAAAGTAGTATGTGACTGTGAAATATTTTATTAAATAAATAAATAAATCCTGTTCGATATTGATCATGTATTCAGCACAAACTATTGTTTTTGTTTAAATCACCTCACCTGTCAGATAAACCTTACTGATGAAAATTTCAAATCAAGAAAAGTTTGTTAAAATCCTTTTTATAAGAAAACAATATTTTCGTAATATTATATTACAGTGCCTCAAATATACCTACCTTTAATGATGTGTAAGCTCTTTACCTATGAAATTGTCGTTTTGATGAACTGGCCACTTACAATGTAATAGGTTTGGTTTGACTTGGTATTTTAAATTGAAATAAATTATTAGTTTCAAGCAAGCCATTCCTTCTTTAATTTTTTTCTTTGGTTGTTTTTCTAGTGTAAAGTGTAATAATAAACATTAAAATTAGGCAATCACTTCGTTCAATACAGTATTAAAAAGCAGATCGTATGTGTGTAAGATTGAATATGGACCAATGTAAATAAAACATTATTAAATTCACAAAGAGTTTATTTTTCATTGCACAGTAAATGATATGTGAATTATACGAGTGAAATTGAATTAAGCTTTATAGTACATTGCGCTCTCAGAATAAATGTATAGCAGCTCCGATAAACCTCTCCTCTAAACTGGTGGCCGTGCTTTCTCGCCAACCTGCTTAGTATACATTGTTAAGCCTCTTAAGCTGAACGCATATTTGTCAGCACCGTACGCAAACCTTTTGTATTGCCAGCAACTTTTGCAGTTTTTTTTCAATCACTGGTGTGAAACGGGACATTGATCGCTCGGATCGCTATAGAAAAAAAAATGTTTTAATAGCCTGCTTATTGGCACATAAAAAGAAGAAGATAAAATTCGAAGAAAAAGAAGATTCTGTATTCACAATATTAATTTTAAAAGGCAGTTGTATGGAGAATACTATACTTTATTATACATACATACATAACATGTATGTATGTATATAAAAGACTTATTAACGATATTTGTATTTGACATACAAGAAATTTCAAGAATTGCTACATATACTAAAATCTATATAAAATATATTTCGAAACAATAGTCAAAACCACCAGTTTTAGCGGAAAGTCCACTAAATTGGCAACATTAGACAACACTGAGTATCAGCAAGTGCCGAACGCGCCAGATATATGACGACATCAGCATGCCTCCTTCAATTTTCAGATACCTACCGCATTTTATAAAATTCGGCGCGTACAGTGCGGCTGCAATGTGCGAGGTTTCATACAACGAATTCTAAAATGCGGCTCGTACGGCTCGTACGGCGCGTACGGTGCTGACAAATGTGCGTTCAGCTTTAACGAGCAAAAGTTGAACGAGGTTTTTAAAGAAGCCATCTAGTCAACGGCAGATTGAGCTATTGAAATTTTCAAAATTCATATAATATTCATTGAACACTACTTAAGCCAAAGATCTAATACACGGTTTAATTACTACTTAGTTTAATACCTCTAAAATATTTTTAACATATTATCGTCCCTTCATCGTGCATAGACGTAGGTATATACGTAGATTGATTACTCTGTATTGGCAGTGATTGACTCCAAGCTTCTAAAGTACCTGCTACTATAATTACTACGAGTATAATAGTTATATGCGATCAATATATTTACGCTTATATAATTGATAGTTTGAATTTTATATACATTTATTTACTTTGGTAAGTGGTCAATACTTTTTAAATAGGTAGTTAATTCTTAATGTTGGTATGGCTGTTTGTCGTCTGCTATTTTATCTCTGAAGTACAGGATCGTAATTTCCCATTGAATATAATTTTCTATAGCTTATGTTTATATTTTTTTTTATAATTTGCTATATCTGTAATAATTCGCACACTGTAGGCAGTGTTTTAATCCAAAATGAGGTAAATAAAATGTAAATTATAAAGGTTTCAGACGAAGTCAAATATATCAGTGCCATATTTGATTTGTTAACTGAGATGTACATATGCTTATGTGTAAATATAATTTTATTGAAAAGGTTTAAATTATATCATATATACAAATAATTAATTTGTACTTAAATGTAACCTTAATAATAATCTAATTAAGCTTTTTACATACTACGGTTTTAATAAGGCACTTTGTGCGTGAAATTGCTCTTCATTATATTTTTATCATAATTATAATCAATTTAAATATGCCTACAACTACGAAAGCAATGTGTATAATAAACCTATTATCTATACATATAATAAAAATGTAAAAAGCAGACGTCTGTACATTTTATATTTTTGTAATAAAAGTGATTGAGAGGTACTAAAAATGAGTAACTAAAACCATTTCTACCATTTTTAGAATTTTCTGTCTGTCTGTCTGTCTGTCTGTCTGTCTGTTTGTTTGTTAACGTATCACGTATAAAGTACTAATTTATATCATAAGAATCATTAAGGAAAATATTAAGTGTATCTTCGTGTTACATTTAGTCTTTATTTTATTAAAATCAGTTCATTCAATCAAAAGTTATGATAAATATTCTGAAGTATGATAATATGAATACGAAGTATAGGTACGAATTTGTTCAATGGTGGCGTTGGTTGAGTCATCAAATGCATTTTAAACTAATACTATATCATAAATCATAATTAAATTACGTAAAATAATGTTCTATAATGATATAATTATATCTAAAACGCAGTAAACAAAAGTATTTAATATTACGAGAACGTTTTAAATAAAATAATATACAAAAATATATTATAACCTTATTAACTAAATCTAAAGTGAAATTTCATCGATAGATGGCGGTATTGTCCAAATGTAATATAAAAAGTTTTTCTTACTATGCAGACACTGGTTTATAAGTTCTTTTATGTTTTATATATATAATAATGTACCAATCGCGTCAATTAATCTCTTTTATTTTTAGAATTGATTGCTATTAGCAGCGCCATCTCTCTTTAAATATATACTTATAATAAAAATGGTGATAACATGTTGTGTCTGTTTTTGTACATTGTATAGAATATTTGTCACTAAAATCATTATAGGGAAATGAAAATAATTAAGTAAACACATTTTTATAATTTTTAGAATTGTCTGTCTGTCTGTCTGTTTGTTTATAAACGCATCACATCTAAAGTAAACATTTTTTTTTAAAAACAAATCGTTAAGAAAATCATAAAGCGTACTTAAATTTTTGTTTTATTAAATTTGGTTAATTCTATCGAAAGTTATGATTATTACTTTAAAATGTAGGTTCTAATTTGTTCAATGGCGCCATAAAATCTCAGGAAATGTAATAAAAAGATTTGTGTGTAAAAAAACGTTCTATAATAATATATTTATACTTAAAACAAAGTAAACAATAAAAAAGATGTTTTCCTTAAATTAAAAAAGTTGTCTCACAACGAACGTAATAGATGGCACTGTACAAATTACATTATTTTCTGCATTGCGGCGTTAAGATACTCCGAATCGTATTGAGACTCACTGACGTGCAGTCACAGTCTCACAAATAACCATACATTACCCAGAACCAATGTAGATATTATATATGTATTTTCAATTTCAATTTCAACTTAATAAATTAAATTAAATGATATATATTATGAGTTAATTTTTATTATTAATTATAAATATATATGTATATATAAGTAAAATAGTCAATTTATTTTGTATCAGATTATAATGAACATACTAATATCCGAAATCACAACTTCCCACAACTCAATAGCGAACTCATATCCCAACTCCAAAGGATGCTACATGAAATAAATCCATATGTTCATAGTTTTAGGGTTGCATTGCAATCGATCCGTCAAGATTTAATAAACAATTATAAAATAGTTATTAAAGCTGACAGACGTCCTGTTACTAAAAAAAAAGTTACTGAACACCGCGGTAGCAACGTTCCTGTCACTGATGAAGTGGCAGTGGTATTAGTTGACCAGGAGTGCGATAGACGTGACATCGTGTTGCACACACATGACGATCGACTGCCAGGGATTTATGAAACGCATCGATATTATGATGCTCTACAATATCCATTAATATGTTGTCACGGTGAAAATGGGTACAATTTCGGAATTTATCAAGTTAATCCTAATATCAGAGAGACCAATTTTAATAAAAAAATATTTGCTCTGCAATTTTATTCGCACCTGTTACATGTAAGGCATATATCTTCTTGCGTATCTGCAAATATTTCGGGGGTTGTTTTACCAATCTATAGTGGACATGTATGCGAAAATAGAGACGGAGCGCTTAGTGTATATACGCACAAACCAGAGACGTCTGTTACACTGACGTCTAATAAGTGATATTGATACAGTAATGATATAAATCGTTTAATATTTTCTTACCTGAATGTCAAATTCTCCAAGTAAAACCTATATACGCGAGCTACGCCGCGGGCACAGCTAGTTATATAATATATTTCACATGTCTATGCAAACCTTAACAATTCGTTAGTCAACTCTCTACATGTGAAAATACGTGTCAAAGTAGGTGTGCCCTAAAATTATGGAATAATTGTATTTTGTATCTCAACTACAATAATACTCGTGTAAAGAATAATTTACAGATTTAAATATTTATTAATATTTTTGCAGCAGACGTTAAACTTTTTTGTTCCTAATACTCGATAAAATTTTCTTAGAATAGTAATAATAAGTAAAACACCATCTTCTTACTACCATTTTTATTAATATAGTGAAGTACAACTTGGCCAAAACAAAAGACGCCTGACAGGAATGCGGTTTCGTCGCCCGCACCCCGCCTCTGTCCCCGCGCTTCCCCTAGTGATCAATCACCGTACGGTCTACCCTCCCTAGTTCTAATGACATTATAGCTGTCATGCGCCTAATTGTTTTGGTCACGTAGTAGTTAGTTCAGTAGAAGCCAAAAATTTGACTGCTAGAACACATTGTTGAACTAACAACACTAATATCTTGTTACCTAAAGCAGTCCTACTTAAAAATACGTTGCTTATTATTTATAGTGTAACTGCAAATCTAAGAATCCTTAATATTTTTAAAGAAGTCGGTAAGAAGATGGTGTGGTCCGTAGAATCCGTCATACATCAATCATCGATTAATAGTTAAAAATCAGATGAGTTGTCGTTCCTGAGGACAAAGATGGAATGCCTCATTATAGTGAAAAAGGCCTCCAGTAATCCACACTCGCCAAACGAAACGCGGCAGTATCATAATGCTACTCTCTTATTATGTGTTGTTATTCTGTGAGAGCGTGACATATTCTGTGGTTCAGCATACAGTTGAAGCCTGGCCTTCTTCTCCTTATCACGTATAATTTTATTATTTTATATCCGACTAATCAATCTGTAATAATTGCACAGGTAATCAACATGTCATCTTATGAGGAAGTCATAAATTAAATATGGCAGACATAAACAATGAACGAGTATCCCATGAAAGTATAATATATTATATGTAAAAAGGATGATAGAAGTATAATTTAAATCTAATATATAAAAGTAATAATCGTTTGTTCGTATTTTATGCGCTGCCATACCGTTCATCAGATAACGCTAAAACTTTGTCAACTTATTGCTTGCACTTGCGCGAGGCTATAGGCAAAGTACAATTAACTTACAGTAGGTGGCGCGCGTATTATACCGACTTTACGTGAAAGCAATATAACCATTCCAAATTTAAAACGATATAATATATTTGTTGTGTGGCAGCAATGCGCCGGGTACCGGCCAGTTTATTATATAATTATGAAGATATTATAGTAGACCACCGTGAACATGGTAGAGCCACGCTGCAGCTACTCGTATATTATGGCTGTAGCACCAATAGCTCGGCTCGACCTACTCTCTTAAAGAATAAAAGCGTAAAATAGCAGCTCAATGCTGAGAACTGTTGAGAACTTGAAATCCTTTTTTACTTTAGACGATGCATTTTATCTTAGTCCTCAAGAGTGACAAAGCATCTGCATTTTAATTCTTAATCGATGACAGATGTAGATGTCTATAGGCCACAGCATCCACTTACTATCAGGTGGACCGTGTGCTTATTTGTCAACCTTCTTCAAACCTTATTAAAGGGTGACAAATGAGCATACAGCTCTTTTATCACCCCAATTCTATAAAAAACTTTTATTTTCTTAATTATAAGTTACTTTTTTTATTGCTTCATCGTACATTATCCAATATAAACGACTACTGGAATATTTTTATATATATTGCTATTGCATACATTCTTATTTAACACGAACGAGAACGATATTTTTAACAGGTTACCATTTTAGAATAAGAATACATTTGTAAAATCCTAAAATGTTTACAACAAAGTTTTTGTGAGTATAAGACTGTAGAAAATAGTCAAAATTCCTCGTCCATGGTAATTTGCTTCGGCTGAACTGGTGTGTTTCTTGGCTTTAGACGGGGGTTCGATGTATATAGTCTTGTTCATCATCCAGTAATAGACGTCGGTGAGTCCTTGGTCATTCAGTTCAGGGCCCACAGTTTTCCTTATTCTCTCGTTGTACGCGTTCAACCAGTTTATCTTAAAATTATAATACATGTGTAATTTCAACAAAAAGATAAAGATACAGGTCTCAAGACGTCTCATATACCATAAATTGGGTAGTAAGATACCTAAGTGAGGGTAATATGGTCACATTAAGCTTTGCCGCCCTATAAAACCTAAACTATGACGAGGTTAGAGACAAAAAAGACTTGTATACTATCTTCTATACATATAATAAAACTGTAAATAGCAGATGTCTGTACATTTTATATTTTTGTAATAAAAGTGATTGAGGGGTACTAAAAATAAGTAATTAAATACATTTCTACCATTTTTAGAATTTTCTGTCTGTCTGTCGGTCTGTCTGTCTGTCTGTTTGTTTGTTAACGTATCACGTTTAAAGTACTAATTTATATCATAAGAATTGTTAAGGAAATTCTAAAGTGTACCTTCGGGTTACATTTAGTCTTTATTTCATCGGTTCATTCCATCAAAAGTTATGATAAATATTCTGAAGTATGGGTAGGGAATTTGCTCAACGATGGCTTTGTTTGAGTCATCAAGTTGATGTTAGCAGCGCCATCTCTCTTTAATTAAATATATACATATAATAAAAATGATGATAACATGTTGTGTCTCTTTCTGTACATTGTATATATATTTTGGTGACTAAAATCATTATGGGGAACTGAAAATAATTAAATAAGAACATTTTATAATTTTTAGAATTGTCCGTCTGTCTATTTGTCTGTTATTATATGAACGCATCACGTCTAAAGTAAACATCTTTTATTTTCAAAGAAATCGTTAAGAAAATCATAAAGCGTATCTTCGAGTTACATTTAATCTTTGTTTTATTAAAATTGGTTAATTCTATCGAAAGTAATGATTATTATTTTAAAATGTAGGTTCGAATTTGTTCAATGGCGCCATAAAAATCTCAGAAATAGTAATAAAAAGATTTGTGTGTAAATAAAACGTTCCATAATTATTAATATATTTATACTTAAAACATAAAAAATGATTTAAAAAAGGATGTTTTCTCACACAAAGGACGTAATAGATGGAGTTGTACAAATTACAATCTTTTCTGATTTGCTGTGTTGAGATTTTTCGCCGATGAATCGTATTGAGACTTACTGAAGAAATTTGTATCTATCGAAGCCATACAACGGAACCCGAAGAAAAATAACAAAATTGCAACGAAATGTCGTGATATTCTATTTATAATATACGCAAAATCAGTACTGCCATTTTAGCGCTTTGGGAACTAGATTTAGCGCTTTTTTGGAATGTATAGCGCGCATTTCGAAATTTTAGCACCTAGCACTTAATCCAGCGCTTTTTGGTGTATTTAGCACACATTTCAAAATTGTAGCGACTAGCGGGTTATTAACTCTTTTATAGCGGCACTGTTAGTCCACATTACCGATAATAATAATAATGACCTTTATTATTTTTTTCCACATATTTGTGGAAAAAAATTAAATTAAATTAAAAAAAGTATGTACATTGCAGTTTATCTTTTTCAAACATATTTTTTCCACAAAACAAAGAGCATGGGAGACGAGTCCAAACTAGGATACCCTGTGCTATGGATCTCCCGGCTTCCCCTTTAGGATGATCAACTTGATTTTTTTTATCGACGACTATAAGCGGGGAAATCCCCTTCATTAAAGTTTTCGTTCATGGTTTTGGCAACGCATTTATTTTGCTTTATTCAGTTTTAGTCAGTTGTTTAGAGCACAGCTAAGTTAAAAGTTACTTAGAGTAGTACTAACTACTGTTGACAGCAATTGCCGTAATTATAAGTCGATGTCCTGCGAAGTATTGATACATCAAAAAATATTGCCAGAAAAAAACTTAATGTAACAAACATCTCTTTATTATGATTATATTTTCTTGAATTATAAATTATAATAAAAAACACAAACTTTGTTTGTAGTTAATTTAGCGCGAAATCTAGGGCTTTTTTAAAGCGCTGTTTTCATGAAATCTAGCGCTTTTTGTGTTGTCCTAGCGCTGAATGAGTTTTTTTTGATCTGGCAGCACTGCCAAAAAACCCTCTATTAAGAAGTAACTTTCCTTTCAGTTTTAAGCGCGTTCAGTTCCCAGTTACAGTCAGCGTGTGTTATGCGATGACCGTAAATAAGCGCAAGGTCAAAATTTACGCGTTGTAAGAGTGGACCTCAGTACTGACTGTTTTGCACATGGCCAACTCTATGTTGCTTTTTCCCGCGTTAGTAGCCCCCGTAACCTTTTTGTGTACACCCCGTCTAAGTCTACTTCTAACGTCGTTTACACCGAAGCTCTATCATAAACTACTTAGAACTTTGATGATAATGATTTATTTGTTACCACTTATTAATACAGTAATGATATAAATCGTTTAATATTCTCTTACCTAAACGACAAATTCTTTATGTAAAATCTATATACGCGAGCTATGCCGCGGGCACAGCTAGTAACTAATATATTAAGAAAAACGAACACTTCGAAAAATCAACTTTAAAGAACTAACTACTAAAATATTTACATTAATTTCAACGGTTATAAATGGCGTCGATAAAGCATCTTCCATACACAAGCGGCTTGCGGTGGCGGCTAACCGCGAGCCGCGGCTCCAGCCGCTGCAACAGCACACCACCGCGGTCGTAGCGGTGGCCTGAGGCGCCATTCGCTGTGGTGTCTGTGCTACGATTGGACGTCAATAAACATGGCTAACCGTGACGATGTCTTATTATATTCAGCAATATTATCATATATTTTGTTTTTAACCCTAATTCTTTTTTAATCACGATGCGAATTATCATAAAGTACTGGATAATTTTGCAGTTTCTATTAAAATCTCTGAATTTAGCACCATTTTTCACGCGGTACACGCGGCCTGTTGTAAAAGTTTGCAACTGACCGCATACTGGCCATACTGCACATACTGGCCGCGTACTCGCTAACAACACGCGTTGGCGAAAGGGGCGGAGCATGCGGCCGCGGTCAGCCGCTGTCAGGCCACGACATGGCCGCACGGGTTTGCAGACTCACTTACATTGCATGCGAATACAACTGACCGCCACCGCGGCCGCCACCGCAAGCCGCTTCTGTGTGGGAGACACTTAAGCAGGCAGCGCCCTTTTGACCCTTTATTATTTGATTGATTGATGAAGTGTTATCGTATCATAGAGCCATCTATGCAATATATATATATATATATATATATATATATATATATATATATATATATATATATATATATATATGTATAAGGCTGTAGTTTTTGAGTTATAAGAAAGTGACTATACTAACCGGATAACCCTATAACCCTCACGTACGATATTCGGAAGTTATCCATTACCGTAACAACCTACTAGAAAGAAAACTGCTGAACATAGGCCTCCCCTATAGGTTGCTTCATAGGGGGATATTTGTCTTAGTTGCCACGCTTCGTAAGTTTTCGTCATGACTAAAATCAATTGGAAACGTCGTAATTAATTAAATATTTGAGCTATGATCATCATAAGCATCGCCGCACCGCCAGCATCAATGAAATTATTAAATTGTATTTCAAGCGCTGATTTACCGCGTGCTCTGCGGTGAAGGAAAACATTGTGAGGAAACTTTGTGAAGGTTCGAAAAGTAAAATAGTTCGATTACATCTATCCGCCATCACGCACCGGATCAGCACGAGCAATTTGTATATAGTAACTCCCTTATATCCCATAGACGGGCCGGGTTTTTTTTTTTAATTAATAATATAATAAATCTGTAGAAAAGTCGTGTCTGTAATTCTACTAAATAAAGGGTTCTGAAGCTAAATTAGTAATTTTTAGAATTTTTATTATATACATATGTACTTATATACAATCGTAAGGCATAATAAAGTAATTGTTGTTCATTAAATGAACTTGAAATTATTTTTACACATTTATTTAATAAGCTAACGTCAGGGACTATCATTTCATTAATAGACAAATAGGTACTTCACACTAGATCACCTTACTGAATGAACACGCACAAAACCTCATTCGTTTCAGCTTTGCCCTAAATAAGGCTTATTTTATAAGTTCGTAAGTAGGACAAGTAATAAATTAGTTTGATAACAGTTCGTTAAATTAATATTAAATACTTATAATGTAAGAGCCTACTCATAAAATAACGGTTCACTAAAGCTAAGTGAGCGGCCAAGAAAAATTGGTGTTTGTGGAAAAAAATATTTGAAGATAACATTAAGATAACTCGGTGTTTACGGAGAGGGTCAGGACAGGAGGCCAGCTATTTATAGAAAGTTACACTGAAGTAAGAGAAAGGTATGCACCTCTCCGAGACACAGGTCTCCCCTAAATTCTGAAAGGGTTATGATTACCATACTCCGCTGTGCTGCTTTAGTGAGTGTTGGCAGACTTCATGTGACTTCGAAACATTTTATTTTTCAAACTTGCCGGTTTTCTCACCAACGCGCACTTCGTAATAATATATTGCTTAAATCAGGGTTTCCCAAACTTTTTCAGTTCCCGGCGCACTTACAGGTTTAGTACCTATTTTGTCTCGGCGCGGCGCGGCGCGCTGGCTAGTCCAAATAGGGTGCAATGATACTAAGTAAAGTTTTTACATCTAAACTGACACACAGGAATACATTATTTATGTAAGATAAATAGGAAATAAAATATAATAACAACTTAGTCAATGTGACGAGTGAGATTGGTGATCTCTACACATTTTTTAAAGTATGGGATAAGGCTTAACATCGCTACTCTCATTTCTTGCTCCACATTGATCATTATGATTTTTGCTCTTTATTACAGCTACAGCTGAAAATCTGGTTTATTTTTTACCCGCTATACATAAGTTTAGTGAAAAAAATGAAAAACAGAAGCAGGGGCGTCTCGAGGCGACCCTCTATTCTACGACGCACCAGAGCGCCGCGGCGCTCACTTTGGGTCATGTCAGAAACTCACGTGAAGATCTTTTTTGTGGGCTGCATATTAACTTTCCATCCAATTGTAATTCATAAAAAAAAATCTCACCTCGTAATCGGTTAGCAAATTCCGATCGATAAGCTTGGGCTCATAAGGTAACAGTGTCGCCTCGCGAAAGCCTAAATATCCGTTCGACAGAGCGACTACCTCCAGAACGTTGCCCAACTTTATACCAAATTTCTTAGGTTCGTACCATGCTGGTTCTGAAAAATTATAATTTCGTAAGTTTTGATGAAACCAGGCGGTCATTTCAGCTCAATAATTGTGCAGGATGTGTTAGAGTTTTGTGAAAAAAAATCAACAAAATTTTATCACTATTACTAACCGCTTGTAACGAAGTACCCCTCTCTAAAAGTATGTAAATTGGTATCTTGCCTGTAGTCTATAACTACCGGATCTAAAAACATGAAAGTATAGTTTTATTTTTTTTAATTAAATGAACTTTAACAAAATATTAAAAGTAAAAGTCAATCATAGTTGTTTTGACCACTAGGCAGGCGAATATGCACAGATCATAGAAACAACTATTGTTTCTATGATCTGTGCGAGTATGCGTGGACATTTCCGTGCATTACTCTATAAAAGGGTTTGATACCAACGTATTTTACTTCTTGGGTCTTTTTTTATTTTTACATAGAGAAATGCCTACGCATTACCGCCTCGCCGGGGCACAGATTACTAAATAGTTTGGCCGGGGCAAGGACGAGTTATGTCGGATGTGCACCGACTAAAACCTTATGGTGTTTTTTCCACCTACGTCGCATATTAACCACCGGAACGCTTTCGCACACATCTGTGAGCCGACTTCCACTTCAACTTCATGGCTCTCTTCATGCAACTCTTTGGAAAAGGACAACTCCTCCCCTTCCCCTTCACAAGTATTGAAATATTAAAAGACCTGACATTTCCAATCAACCGCAACTTGATAGGAGTCCAAAAGTTCTGACATATGGTATCTTTTTATAAGGGGTGACAAACGAGCACACAGTCCATTTGACGGTAAGTGGATACTGTGGTCCATAGACATCTATTTTTATTTTCGATTAAGAATTAAAATGCATATGCGTCATCAGTTACCCCTGAGGACTAATATGGAACGCCTCATTTCCAGTAAAAAGGGTCTCCTGTTCTGCAGTTTACGGGACACAGTAGGTAGGAATTAAGATGCTATTTCACGCTGGTATAGTGCTCTCTCTAACAAGGTACCTTTTTTAAACTCAGTTGTGTACACTCAGCATACGTAACACATTGGCATTAAGGTGCTATTTAACGCTTGTGTTGTTGTGTCTGTAACAATACGCTGGTATTGTAGTGTCTGTAACAATATGCTGGTGTTGTAGTGTCTGTAACAATACGCTGATATTGTAGTGTCTGTAGCAATACGCTGGTGTTGTAGTGTCTGTAACAATACGCTGATATTGTAGTGTCTGTAGCAATACGCTGGTATTGTAGTGTCTGTAACAATACGCTGATATTGTAGTGTCTGTAGCAATACGCTGGTATTGCAGTGTCTGTAACAATACGTTGGTATTTTATTGTCTGTAACAGTCCGCTGGTAGTGTTTGTAACAAGGTACTTTGGCGCCCGCGGAGTACTCGTACACTCAGCGCACGAAATACAGTAGTATTAAGTGTAGTGTGTGTAAGGGCGGCAAGACCTTCGCGGCGGTTGAGCGCGGCGCCGACGCCGTGTCCGGTGGGCGCGGGGTAGTCGCGGCGCGCGGCCCACAGCGGCGCGCGCGCCACCGGGTCGGCGTGCGGCGCGGGCAGCGTGGCCGGCGTCTGCAGCGCGCCCAGCGCGCCCAGCGCCCGCAGCGCCGTCGTGTACGCGCGCCGCACCTCGCGCGACGGCACCCCGTAGTGCACCGTGCGCGTCACCACCGTTGTGCCTTCTAAATTACAAAAATACACTGTACAGTAACGGAGGCTCCGGAGAATCCTTCAATAAACCGTTCATTTATATTTAATCGCATAACTTTATTTCTATCGATTATAATTTCATAAAAACCTAGGTATAGGTACATTGGCTAGTAATCGCAGAGACGTACTCGTAATTGTAATGGCGATTACAAAAAGATTCTAAAGAGTTCTTTCATCTGCTTCTTACTACTCTTCTCTGGTAAAATCATGTGAATATAATGAGGAGCGCTTTGACTCCTTAATAAAAAATCAGAGTGAGTATCAGCGACCCATACCAGGTTCATCGGGGACAATATGTGTAAATAACAAAGTTAACAGTAAGACCTCATTATTTTCACCTACACTCTATGACAGTGCCATGACAAAGGATATAAACTTAAAAAGCAATGTAAATATTAAAAAAAAATAAAGTTATTATGTATTGTGATGACATAGGCAAAAATTTGGGCATGATGTTAAATAACTGTTTAAAAGGACATATGATCACTAATTATTGCATGCCTGGAGCATCCTTTAGTCATATAATGAATAAAGTTTTAGCTAGTAAATTTTGTCCTAATAGCACATTAATAATTCTTGTTGGGAGAAGAGGCAATGTAAACAAAAATCAATTATTAAAATATATTGATAATCTAAATACTTTAAATGTACATAAAATTATCTTGTTTACATTGCCTTACATACAGGGTTGGCCGCAGGAAAATAAAATAAGATATGATTTAAATTTATTAATGAATAACTTTTCATGTAATAATAATTTAAACTTGACATTTAATTGTTACAATTATAATGATAGAATTAATTTAATAGATATAAATAATTTAATTAAGAAATTTTTGACTAGAGATAGGTATTACCTATCAAAATATAATTTAAGACAGATATATATCTTATTATTTATATATTAACTCAGCCAAGGACTTGGCTACACAGACATCTGCTTCTTTTGAGCAGTGTAATGACTTAATATGCAATTTGGAATCAGTTCCAAGTAATTTAAATTAGAAAATGAGACAATAGAGGTAATCTCTAGCAGTTATAATAACTTAAATAATTTAGAATGTAGCTTACAAATCTTTAATTGTATGACTCCACAGAGTAATAATGAAAATTGTTTACACCTGGTGCATCAAAATATACAAGGCATGATAGGCAAAGAGCTAGAAATTGAGTTGTTCTTAAATAGCAACAATATTCATATCTTATGTATTACTGAACATTGGTTAAAAGCTTATAATTTAATGTTTAACTTCAGTAATCACCAGGTGGTCAGTTCTTTCAATAGAGATACGGTTTTAAGAGGTGGCTCCTTAATATTAGCTAGTAAATTATTATCATGTAAAGAACGTAAAGACATTGTGAGCCTCTCTGTTGAGCGAACTGTAGAAATGGCATGTGTTGAGTTTGAGCACCTCATTGTTGTGAGCGTCTACAGACCCCCATGTTGTACATATGATACTTTCGAAAACATTATGGAGGAAGTTTTTACTAAGCTTAATAAACAGAATAAATCTGTTGTAATATGTGGAGACTTTAATATCAATCTCCTAGAAGCTTCCTCCATCAATATTAAATTTAGATCATTGTTTAAATCATATGGTCTTTTTAATTTATTTATAGAGCCAACGCGTATTTCTCAATCTAGTGCAACATGTATAGATAACATTTTTACAAATGTGAAGCCGTTGCATAAATGTATAATTCAAAAATTAAGTTCTGATCACTGTGGACAAGTAGTTTCGTTACATTATGTTCACAAAAAGCGAGTACATGAGAAAGTTGTGTCTGTTCCAGTAAATGCACGTCGCTTGGAGAAATTTAGAAGTAACATAGTGAAAAAACTTCCATCACTTTCATACCAAAATGATCCTAATTTTTTGTATGGAACATTATTTAAGCTTATTTGCAATGAATTTAATAATACTTTTACTTCTAAAACATTCTCCTTGAACAGTCGAAAGTCATTCAATGAATGGGCGACAGTAGGAGTCCATAAGAGCAGGCATAGGTTATATGATCTTTACCATGAAAGGTCATATAATCATAGCGTCGAATTTAGGGAATATGTAAAAAAATATTCAAAAATATTTAAAAGAGTGTGCTCCATAGCCAAGTCTTTGCATTTGAGCAACAAAATTAAGACGGCTTCCAATAAAATTAAAATGACATGGAGTATAATTAATAGCGAAACTGGTAAGATCAACTCTCGCAATTCAAATTACCAGTTAAGTGTTAACAACAAATTAACTGTATCAGATCAGGACGTAGCAATGGTTTTTGAGAAATATTTTACTGATATTCCGATCTTGACCACTAAGTCACTGAATTCTTCTCCTGCCGTCGCCGAATCATTACTTAAACAAAATGTAAATGTGTGTACAAAGAATTTTACATTTCATAAAGTGTCATCAAAAGATATTGTAAAATATTTTAAAACTATTGATGTTAAGAAAACTGCGGATCTGTGGGGGATTTCCGTTAAAGTTATTGCGTCTATAATAGATACAATCGCGCCTCATTTAGCTATTATTTTTAATACTAGTATCGAATCTGGTGTGTTTCCTGATTTAATGAAGCATAGTAAAGTAATACCTTTATTTAAATCTGGTAGTACATTAGACCCCGCCAATTTTAGACCTATTTCTGTACTACCAACACTTAGTAAGATTTTTGAAAAAATTGATCTTGATCAAATGTTAAATTTTTTTAATATAAATAATTTACTTCATAAAAATCAATTTGGTTTCACAAGGGGTCGCTCGACAACTGATGCCGGTGTTGAGCTGATTAAATATATCTTTAATGCATGGGAGAATTCACAGGATGCTTTGGGTATATTTTGTGACCTATCCAAGGCCTTCGATTGTGTTCACCATGAAACATTAATCAGGAAACTTCAACACTACGGTGTAAGAAGTGATGCCCTTAAATTAATTATTTCATATTTAAGTAAGAGAACGCAAAAAGTTGTCATTAACAATATGAGCTCTTCCGGATCGATGGTACAAATGGGCGTGCCTCAAGGCTCAATTCTCGGCCCCTTTCTGTTTCTTGTATACATTAATGACTTACCTTACATAGTAGGGGATAACCATGATATAGTATTATTTGCAGATGACACTTCTTTAATTTTCAAATTAAGTCGACAATTACTAAAATATGACGAAGTAAATAATGCTATATCTAAATTAGTAAATTGGTTCGATGTTAATAATTTGCATTTAAATGGCACTAAAACAAAATGTATGAAATTCGTGACTCCAAATGTCAAACAATTAAATACTAATGTTATTTTAAATGGGGAGAAACTGAGTCTTGTAGATACCACCATTTTTCTTGGAATCACACTAGACGCGAAGCTTCAATGGAGCCCCCATATATCAAAACTAGCAAGCAGACTTAGTTCTGCAGCATATGCTGTAAAAAAGATTAGAAGTCTAACCAGTGTTGAAACAGCTAGACTAGTTTACTTCAGCTACTTCCATAGCATAATGTCGTATGGTATTTTGCTATGGGGACACGCAGCTGACACTGAAATTATATTTGTTTTGCAAAAGAGGGCCATAAGAGCAATTTATGATTTAAAGCCTAAAGAGTCGCTGCGACAAAAATTTAAGGAAATTAATATATTAACTTTGGCCTCTCAATACATTTATGAAAATGTAATGTACGTACACAAAAATAAAAGTAGTTTTACAAAAATAAGTGATATTCATTCTGTAAATACTAGGAACAGACACAAGCTAGTAGTACCAGTTACTCGACTCCATCGAGTCAGTAATTCATTCTTGGGGCGATGTATACGCTTTTACAACAAAATTCCAGAAAATATACAAAGTTTGACCTGTTCAAAGTTCAAAAACTTTATTAAACTAAGTTTGTATAAAAAGGGTTATTATAATATTAAGGAATTTATGGATGATAATAACCCCTGGAAATGAGGTGATCGCTACCAAGCTATTTCTAATTTGTTGTGTTGTTAATTTGTGTAACATCATGATTGTAAGCTGTTATTTTAAAAAAAAAAGTCCCGCTGGGTTTCTTGCTGGTTCTTCCCAGGACAGAGGTTTTTTCCGAACCAGTGGTAATCAAACAAAAGAGTGACTTTCAATAAGTATTATTTATAATCTATATTGAATAAAAAAGTTTCTGTTTCTGTTTCTGTTTCTGTTTCTGTTTCTACGGTTTTTGTTCGTTTAAAAAACTGTCGCTAGATAGTTGCCCGTGACGACATAGAGTTTTGGCGGAAACTTGACCGCATCCGGATTAATTACTGCCCCTATATTATTGTTAACCGAGTAGTGGCAGTATTAAATTATCCACTACCCCATATCGTCCTGTGGGTGTCGTAAGAGGCGACAGAGGGAAACTGTTACAGGTGATAGATGGGCAGCAGCGTCTCTCTGATGATAACAACTCAAATAATAAAAAAGTTTAAAATTATTAAAAATATTTTTATTATATGATGTAACTAAAAATGTATGCTTTTCGCAATTTTTCCTTTGTCTGTGCTATAATACGTTGCTTCGTACCAAATTTTAAGATTCTGAGTTCACGGAAAGTACCCTGTAGGTTTTGATTCCCTTGCGCCCCACTATAAAAGTTACATAGATTGCCTCCCGATGAGGCAATCTATGTAACTTTTATGGTGACTTTGAAGTGAATTTTGATATGTAAAAGTATTGTTATTTCGTAAATGCATGTAAACAACTATTAGTAGACACGTTAAAACAAGTATTTCGATGGTGATGTGAATTTCAAGTTATTGTGTCTGCATGGACGCCTTGAGATACTATCGTCATCGACCATCTGCTGGCTCAAGCTTTTAATAGGATAAGCGTGCACACAGTCGATCTGATGGTAAGTGGTCACGGTGGCCCATAGACTAGATGTCTATGGTCCATATATATCTTCGTTTGCGAATCAAAATGCAGATGCGTTGTCAGCCGTGAGGATCAAGATGGAATGCCTCTTTTCCTGTAAAAAGGGTCTCCGGTTCTCTACACTCACCATACGAAACACTGGTATTCTGTGAAAGCATGGACCCTCCCCGGTCGAGCCGACCCATTCGTGCTACAACTATACATCGGATATAGCTGCAGCATGGCTCGATGATTATTACTTCAATGGATGCAGGTCATATTTATTCATAGTCATACATATTTATTTTGTTGAGACGACGCCATGCTAGGAATAGGTGGCGCTATTATAAAGTTATTAACTAATTCCATATTGTTAGTTTAGATTAGGTACTGCCGAAACGATACCGTTAAAGATACTTAACATAGCATAAAGGATCAGTAATTCATCTCTGACTCCCGCGGAAGCCTGTCAAAAAGCACGGCTATGTACCACCTGCGTCGATCGGATCCTTGCATGTACAAGGTACAGATACTGTACGGTAATACAGTGCGTACCCAGCCGGTACTTTACTCGGAAATCTTTCTAGCCTGTCTTCTGCTCTCTGCCTCTTCAGTTTACTATAGTATGATAGCTTTCATCGCAATAAAAGTGTATCGTAAACTTCTCACCGTCATACTGTCCCCCCGACTGTATGACGAGCGTGGAGTTGGTGAAAACGCGCCGGTTGGTCGCGTTGCTGGCCCGGTAGTCCGGCTCGGCCGCGTTGGGACCGAAAGCAACGCGAGTCCGCATGGACATGCCCACGTAGCCCGCCTGCGTGGCACGGGTCACGTCCACTTTCATCGCCACTGACAACTCGTTCAGACCGGCTTTGCCCTGAAATACAAAGTCATTTTTATATAATTTTGATATAATTTCCTGGATATAGTAGAATTTTATTTCCATTTGAGTTAATATTATAAAATAGGCAAGTTTTTCCGCTTGTCCACCGCCACCACCACCAAGTTCGGTAGCACCGAATCAGGGATGTTGCGGATATTTGCATCCGCATCCACAATAATTGAAGAGGAGCTTTGATGCGGATGCGGGTGTGATACAAATTACGACAAGAAAATGGGCGGAGGCCAGCGAGTGGTACGTGTAGTGTGCGTGTATTGTTCTTCTGCTACAATGTAATTTTTGAATTATCATATTTTATTATTAGGTCTTTAGCCGTGGTAAGGAAAAGGGGAGATCTCCCGCCGGGCAAGGTGTTCAGCCCGGGGAGCGGCCAACGCTCCGAGTGGTAGTTCGGAGCTATTATACTGCATTTACTTCGGAACTTTGATAGCGCGATTTAGGCTTCAATCTATTTTCGCTTTTCGTGCGACGACAGCGCCGCCACATCACCCACCTGCTCAGACCATAGGTCGATAGTGCAGTCTAGATGTCGACGAATGTGCAAGTGCCAGAGATTGACTTATAGTCTGCGGTGAGTCGAGAAGAAGGCAAGTGATCTGCGAGAATGCCGTGAAGCAGAGGCGAGCAGTAAGGCTCAGAGCCGTGCTGAACACTGTAGCGCAGAGAGTGGCTTGAAGGAATAGGAAGCATTATTATTCCAGGGCTGCGATGAAGCTTTGTAAAGCTAGATGTCTTGCAGCATGTGAAGACTGCAGACAATATCTGCTCGGATGCGAATGAATGGGGTACTTGATGAGAATGACGAAGGCGAAGGTTTGAAGTTGTAGTTTCCGAAGATTGTTGACTGCGTGTTCATATCACGTCGGTTAGTCACCACTGTCGTCGTGAAAGGAAAAGGTGAGATTTCCCATCGGGCAAGGTAGTTCGGAGCTATTCCATATATACTGCTTTTACTTCGGAACTTTGATAGCGCGATTTAGGTTTCGATGTATTTTCGCTTATGGTGCGACGATAGCGCCGGCACAGGTATTTGCCGGCCTACACCTATGAAAATAGCGGTTTTTTTTTTAATGAAATAAGTTTTTATATTTTTTATTTCATTAATCAAAGTAATCACCCATGCAATCGATGCATCTTTGCCAACGCTATGTACGATTTGCAACGCTCCGGATTTTCGATAGTACCTATTAGTAGTTGAATAATAGTTACGACGTTTCAAGTGATAGACATTGCTGGTTGTCGCCTGAAAAAGTTAAGAGGTTAGTATTTGGTTCCCACTGAGTTTAACTTACCATTCCCTCAATGTAACTTAAAACCGTGCACATTGCGACAGCGTCACGCAAATGCGCTTTCCTCATCCCCTTTATCTCGGCCTCGTTTTTCTGCGCCTTCAAATAGATGATAGGAGATGGCTGAAACAGTCTTTTGGACTGTGGGACACTTTGCGCGATAGCCGCCGACGCTCCTCGTTGGAAGGTGCCACCGGTAGGGATCAGGATCTTTGTTTCACTAGCCCGTCGGAGGTCCGAATATATGGTCGTGTATTCATTGACCCTGGAGGGACCAAATTTAGGAGTTATTAAAGTAATAGCTAATTAGAACAAAAACAATATTCATAAACTTTAAATTTATTTTTAAGCCAAGCACACAGTCCACTTGATGGGTAAATAAGTGATCACTATGGTCCATAGATCTATCATTGATTTTAATTGTAAAATGTGTGGTCACTTCTGAGGTTCTAAGTTGTTGACTCACTAAGTTGGAATGCCTCGTTACCAGCAAAAAGAGTTTCCGTTTCTCTTTACACTTTGATACGAAACAAACGAGATTTTATCTCGATTTTACGCTGGTGTGGAACGTTGTATTTCCCCGGCCGAGCCGATCCATGCGTGAGCGAGCCCATTCAGCAGCTTAAGCTACAAAAAACGTGAGCTCTAAAGAAAACAAACTTCAGAGATTTATTCGAAAGTTGTCACCTTGTTTCGAAATCAACCAGGAGAACATCACAATACAATACTAGTACCAGCCAAAAACGTTTTTAAAAGAAAACTATACGAGCATATCCGTAGCCTACAAAGTTGAGTGAACTTACTTTTATATGTTTTTAGTTATTTATAAATAAATAAATAAATATATATATATATATATATATATATATATATATATATAGATATTTATCTGTTCTACCGAAAGTTAGCTGATAGTGAGTGCCATAAGCTCGTCTTTTGTACAAATCTTTGGTGCAATAAAGAATAAAATCTTTGACAGACATAGAGGCATAGACATCGAGGTGACTAAAAGTGATCGAATTTTTCTAAATTTGGCACGGAACAGCATTTAATGATGTTCCTAAATTCAAGCACACGCGAGCGAAGCCGCGGGTAAAAAGCTAGTAAATAAATAAATATCACAAGATTTCGAATTAATAGCTTTTGAAGAAGATCGATATAATGTATCCGATGTAATCTGATGGTCGATATAATGTAGTCTCATTTAGAAAATTTACTTACTTACACGTAACGTTTTTATTACCACTGATGGCGGTTTAAACCGAGGCGTGGTCTTTCCCGTCTGACTTTATGCTCAAACTTATATGTGATTCGTCAACAACAGAGAGGACTCTGCCTCAAACTTTGTACTATTATTCATTCTGTGCTGAAACCAGAGTTGGGTTAAGCTTTGCAGAGGCCCTAAAGCAATGCAAATTTATCCAGTGTTCAATTTCGTCAGTTATGTTTGATTTTGATTTTTATATAATAGACGAAAAATTGGTTTTGGCTAATAAAACCTTAGCTTCGATGAGAACTAAGAAAATGTAATGAAACAGAACCAGGCCAGAGCAGGTAGGCCTAGTAAGAAATTGAAATTTCACGGGTATAAAACTTGATGATTGTTATTTGCTTCAAATGGTTAGTCCTACCTTGTACAATTATTAACAGACGCGTAGCAATTGTACACCGCCAGCGCCTCGCGAACAGGCATGGAGAGTTTCCCGGGCGGCGCGTACACGCGCACGTCCTTCATGCTGATTATGACGAATGCCTTCAGGAGCGGAGCATAGGGCACGTCACGGCCCCGCACGTTGAGCAGCCAGGCCACCTCGTCCAGTGCTGTGACAACCATCGCGTCTGCCCCTATTTGTCGTAGCTCGTTGCGTATAACCACTACCTTGTCACGCCATGTCATTCCTACCAAAAAAAATATTTAAGAAATATACGAAAATATTTTAACATAAATAAAATACCTTCAATGAAATTGTTGTCAAACCGTTAGGTATAAATTTTCTAGTTAGTAAAATTATAACTGCAAAACTACTGAATAGACTTATTAGGCTCTTCTTTTCGTGATGTACCTTTTTTCTTCTTTAAAAAAATAATAATAACATTTTATAAATTTGTATCAAAAAAATCTGTTTTTAAAAATTTGTGTATTAAAATGCATTCACTTAAGAACTACTAAAGCTGAATAATTCTTTCACTCAGTCTTCGTATTCTGCATTTACTTGAACCCTAAAATTTAGGCATGATGATTCTAGAAACCGTCTAATTGCGGAAAGCAATATCATCATTTACTTCAGGCCACTGCTGAGCACAGGGCCTCCGATCATATTTGAGAGGGTTTTCGTGGAAAATCAGCATTTAAAGTATTTCAGTAGCGTCGGCCGTTTTTGCGGATGAGCCTCAAAATATGTATACATATAACAGTTCTAATTCAGGTTCAATAGTTAATTTCTTTGTGTTTTTGATAACTAGTCTTATACTGACCGGTGTACTCCAAGTGATGCAGATTGGCGACGATCCTTGAGAACTCCGGTCGTCGCAGCGCCGGGTTGGGCTCCTCGCTCCACAGCTGATCGAGCAGGGTCGGCACGTGTATGAGCTGCATGCCCTCACGCTGCAGGTTGGTGACGAGGCTCTGCCACTCGCCCACGGAGGTCAGCCTAGCGTCGCCGCCTACGCGTCCGTTGCGCCCCGGACGCTCCTAACACAAGAAACCTGGCGATGCTAATAACATTTCCGTTGACCACTACAACTAGGCCTAAAATGCATGTGCTTCTAGAAGTGGTTCACAAAAGTAGTCGTAGGTTCGAATTCAACCTACGACTTAGATAGTGTTGTGTTTCGCAGTCTCGCATAAACAATACAACGCAAGATTCTATTGATATTAAATAAGTTATTAAATAAAATATGTCGAGCTAAATTCGTCTCTACTTATTAATTTATTCCTTAGTTTGAACTTTTCACACTTACAAATTATATCAAACTATATGTAAAAAATATTTAAAAATCAAACATAAACGACGATAAATTATGTCTAATATCATAATTGTTCAATTTGATATCTGTTAATTTTCGCCGTGATTCCACTAAATGAAAGTTAAAAGTTCAAATGTTCTGTTCATTCAAATATAAGTAGATATACAGTTTCTTCAGTTATAATTTGTGAATATTATTAAGTAAAACAACGCCACGTAAGAAGCTTGCGTTATGTTTGTTTTATTGAGAAGGTTACACAAAATCGTACAATATCATAATAATAATGACCTCCGGACCGGATTTCGGTCACGGCGGCAAGCCTCAACGGAGAATAGCCATCAGCGCAGAACAGGATTATAGTGCGCAAGTATATTGCACAGGTGCACTCTCTATTCCCTCTCTCTCATAGTCCTGCCCGGAGAGAGATCAGGCGCAGGACCAACGGCTCTACGTACTTTCCGAGGCACGGCGGTGAGATACCGCTAACTTCCTGACTCCGGGCAACTACTGAGAATTTCTTGATGGAGAAACATAATAACTGATTTATCATATATATTATGATGATATTATAATGACGTGTGCTTCATATCGTGTGCTGTATGGTGATGACGTAAGAGTCATCACCACACCATCCCATTTCGTTCCGTGCCGTATGATGATCTTATGAATTCCGACAGGGCAGTATATTATTTTTATACATTTTTCTTCGAATCACACTAGACGCGAAGTTTCAACGGGGCTTTGCGTAAAGTTAGTAGTAGCAGTTTTCTTAGTTCTGCAGCATAATATGCTACAAAGAATTGACGAAGAGTATTTTGCTATGGGGACACGGGACTGACACTGAACTTATATTTGTTTTACAGAAGAGGGCCGTAAGAGCATCTATGATTTAAAGCCTAAAGTCGTTACGACAAAAATTTAAGGAAATTAATATTTTGGCTTCTCAATACATTTATAAAAATGTAATGTACACGTACACAAAAATAAAAGTAGTTTTACAAAAATAAGTGATATTCATTTTATAAATACTAGGAACAGACACAAGCTAGTAGTACCAGTTACCCGACTCCATCGAGTCAGTAATTCATTCTTGGGGCGATGTATACGCTTTTACAACAAAATTCCAGAAAGTATACAAAATTTGACCTGCTCAAAGTTCAAAAACTTTATTAAATTCAGTTTGTATAAAAAGGGTTATTATAACATTAAGTAATTTATGGATGATAATAACCCCTGGGAATGAGGTGATCGCTACCAAGCTATTTCTAATTTGTTGTGTTGTTAATTTGTGTAACATCATGATTGTAAACTGTTATTTAAAAAAAAGTCCCGCTGGGTTTCTTGCTGGTTCTTCCCAGGACAGATATATTTTTCTGAACTAGTTGTAATTAAACAAAAGAGTGACTTTTAATAAGTATTATTTATAATCTATATTGAATTAAAAAAAATCTGTTCTGTTTCTGTTTCTATTAATCTTCTTTACTCCAGACGTAAAATTGCCAGACCGGCGACGGGCAGCAGCGGCAAATGTTCGAAACGCCCATACACCAAGCCAAGTCCAGCGTGAGGCAAATCCTACTTAATCCGGGAGAGGCCCTTGTCGAGCAGAACAGCAGTGGACTCTTACGGTCTAAATAAGAACATTGTCAATATAATATAACATAATGTAGCTAAATATACCACTACGACCAAACCAAAACGACACATTTTTTATAACCCCCAGTTAAATAGAATTTACCGGGGGTTATAAAGTCTTGGCTATGCAACATGCGAGAATGGCCGAGAATCGTGAGTCTTGCCGAGCTCTTTCGCCTCGCGAAGAACGTTGTGCGAGTATTCAAAGCTGACTGCCAACCTTCGCTATCGGAGAGGCACTCGAAATAGAAGAAGAAGTAAAATAGAATTAGTATTATAAGATTTGAGTTACCGCTATCCACTCGGCGATCGTTGGCTGGCTAGGGTCATTCTCATCTAGCACGAGCCAGGCGCAGGACACCGCGGCCCGAGCACGCCTCACGTCGCTACTTGGCACCCAGAGGGCGGCGCCGCCATCGGATACCACCGCTGCAGTACCAACGCCCTCCCAACCGCTGATGTACTCTAGACGACGTTCCTCCGCCGAAGGTTCCTCACTCTGTGATACGGTAGGAATGAATTTTTTTTTATTCCGATTTAGTTACTTTTCATATAAGCCAGGTTGGCTTATTATGTTGACGCTCGAGAATTGATACTTCTTAAATTCATCATTAAACTTATCATTCGTGAAAAACTCTATTAAATTAATAATCGATTGGATTTTTACTTTAAATTAATCGAGTTAAAAAGTTATAATTTATTCGCCAGGCAACTTTGACGTTGGTCTCTTCTTTTATTTAAGCGATAAACCATTTAATATTTTTCAATAATATGAAATGGATATTATTGAATTAGATTCTTAATTGGCTTTATTTTTATATAGACTTTATTTTCTGATAATAAGCAAAAACATTTCAAATAAAGTAACCTAACTTTTTGTCCACGGAATGTCGCACGCTGAGATACTTCGTGATGGCACGCTCAATTTATAGAAAGCTTTCGTTATCGAGATAGCCAAATAAATTCATTCATATCTTACGAAAATCTAATCGCCTGATCTGACTAATTACGTTGAGAGTTATAGGGGTTCCTAATTTGTGTTTTCAGATCCTGATTTTTCTTCTTACTAGTGCATATTTTTGTAAATTTCAATTCAGTGTGCAAACGTGCAATTACTTACCAGATGTTCATCACTGTAAAACACCAGGAAAGCATCAAAGAATGCGTTCATCTGTGTGTAACTGATATTCCTCATGGCGCTACGTAAGCGGCCTAACGGACTGGTGGAACTGGTGGCCTCCGTGCAGGTCATCTGGGGAGCTGTTGGTATCTCCTGCACGATAGTGAGGGGCTCCGGCAATCGCGATATCATTGTAGACATTGTAGTGGTGGTTGCGTTCATTGATTGCGGAGCCAGGTGCAAATTGCGAGCACCATCGCTGGCTAGAAATTAGAAAAGAATAAATATAAAAACTTATGTTTAAATTTAAAGCGTAATCTAATTCGAAATGATGAAGGAATATAAGGAATAGGATATAAGGAATATAAAATTAAAAACACATCCGATAACGTTGGGGTGATCTCTTTTATGTCCTGTCATAACCATTATCAGTATTTTCATTTATGTAACACAATTGAGAGAATTGACTGCAATCGACAAGCTTGTCACAGTAGTAAAATTTTTTATTGCGATTTTAAGGATTTTTATAGGAAGAGTCGTTGGAAAGGGCAGAACAACGTCTGCCTGGCGAGCTAGCATATATATAGGTATATATATATATTGTATAGGTATAGTGTATATAGGTATTGTATAGGTATATGGATATATATATTCATTTAAAGTTAAACGCTGACAAATTTTTTATTACTGAAGTTGTTTCTAAATACTAAATTTAGCTAAAAGTTGCAAAACGCTCTACTGCAATACACTTCTTTAGACTGCATTAAATAGTTCGCTATTTAATTGATTTCGCTCAGCGAAAACGTGCAGAGTTTGAGCCCTAAAACACGTAAGCAAGATACATAGAGCTGACTATAGAAAAACATAGCGTACACAAATGTAATCCCGCTACTTTCATTGTTTGATTAACTCTTTATAGCATTTCTATTGATAACTTTGTTGTCAATAGAAATGCTACCATGTAAAAATTTTGCTTTTACATTTCTTTTTTTTATCAACACATTGCACGCCAAGGTTATTTCGGTTTATTTCGAATTTTTTTCTGAAGAGGGAATCGAACCAAACTTTAAAGCTCAGGCTACACAGAGACGGTACCTATAGCGGACAACGCTCTGCTACGACTACACAACAGTTCTACTCGGAGTCTGCGGCGGAAGAGGGTCCAGTGCGACAGAAAAAGTGGCCACGTTTTGTTTTCCATATAGATTGAAGATCAAGCATATTCGGGGTGCATCAAGCACCATGTCGCTGTCAGACGGTGATGAAGAAATTCTACTATTCCAAGCTAAGCATTGTGGCAAAAAGAAACCCTAACGGATTTGGGTACACGATATAAATACTAAGAATACCGTTTTGGAGAGTACGAAATCCGTTCTTATCGTCCGGAGGCCGTTCTTTTACTCATATTATCTTCTTCTTTCTTCTATATAAATAAAATGATAGAGGTTTGCAGTTGTGCGCGCATCACGGAACAACTACTTGATAGATTTCAACTAGGTTTTCTAAGTCTTAGACATTTGGCCCTTATCTAAAAAAAAATATTGCGATATCTTCATTTAATATAATGTTATTAAAGTTTTAAGAAACATCGATTTTTATAAGCACTACGTGTTCAGTGACGTGTGTAAAACACGGACGAAGTCGCGGGTATATCCTATAAAAGGGTTAAATGGTAGTAAAATTTCTTCCTAAATCTAAGTTACATATCGTGCCGCATTAGTGACCCAATCTCAATGACGCAGAGTTCCGTACATGCCCCCATACAAATACCTCCCCATACCGAAACCCTCTACTACACGTCTCTTTTCCAATGATATTGCACTGAGCATAGCTCTCTACCGGGCATCTCCACTTTTTTACTCTTCCATTATCTGGCTTCTGGCAAAATCTAAGCTCATCTGTGAATAGAACTTGACGCCAAGCTTCGTCATTCCAATTTTCGTGATAGCGAGCAAAATTAACTCGAGCCACTTGATGGCACGGAGCTAGAAGGGGGCCTCTGGCAGGCAAGTGCGAATTTATTCTGGCCGATTTCAGTCTTTGTCTTACAGGTTTTGTGCTTACTGTAACCCCTCGGACTTCTTGGAAGTTCGTTCTTATCGAAGTTAATGTCCGGTTTCTAAGCACGCTGGTAACGATGAACCACCACTTACGTTATGTTACCGTTTACGTCCATGTCCTGGCGAGTCTCGTGCACTGTCTACGTATACAAAAAACATCAAAACAACAAAAATAGTGAATAGGAAATCATTTTTATTTACCTAGGTATCCGATTCTAATAATGAACGAATTACAAAAGGACACTAGAATGCGTTAACTGTGTTTTTGGAGTTGGTCTATATAAATAACTTAGGATAAAATGTAATATATGTAGTTACTATTAATTTAATATTATTAATAATTTCGAAGCTTGATATAGGACAATACAGTTGAAACATCAGAATACTAATCTGTGAATACAGTCACTGATAGCTGATAGATAGATGGACTTTCTACCGAGTGTAGAAAATACCTAAAAACCTTCTTTGAAATTAGTTAAATAAATAAATAGGAAAAAAAGTTAGATAAATAAATAAATAGGACTATATGATAATTAAGTTTCTAGTTTGTTTTTTTTTTATTATCATAGTTTAATATTGTAGATAAAATTAAGTATTATGATCTTAAAAATATTATGTAAACAGGAGCAGTTGACTTTTTATTTTCGGCCCTCAGTATGTTTTTCTCGTGTTGGCGGAGCTTGGAAATGGGTTGTCCTTAGCGACTGAATGAGATACAAACAGTCTTCTGTCTCGTTCAAGGGGTACACAAAAATCATCTGCGAGAGAAAGCGGCTAGCGACAGCGGCGTTAGTGGCGCGGGAATGTACCAGGATAGCATATCGCATATGAAGCGTCATTTGGAAAGAGCTTCCCAAAAGCTCGCTAGTGTGACAGGGATAAATAATGTTTATAATACGCCCGTGAAGTGAGTAAGTCTTCGTTTACGCCCTGCTCTTTTTCTCACGCTTTCACCCACACTTTCCATAATAATTTTTGTTTCTGTTCAATGAGAGGCTGGATTGTAATGGAACTGAACTTTAGAATGCTCAATGAATAAAAAGTATGCGTTTATTATGATTTAACTTAAATTCCACCGAAAAGAAGGAAAAGAAGCGTCACAAAACAAGCGCAAAAAAGGTGATTTCAATCTAGGAGGTACCCCAAGGGTGTGGATTTATCGAAATGACGTCAACAACTAACAGGACCTTAGAGCTCAAAAAGAGGTGGATTTTGTCCTTTCCCTACAAAAGGACATTTACATAATAACTTGTGTGTACAAACAAACACTACAAAATGAATTTGATTCGAAAAATGAATTTATTCATTCACTACATAAAAATATTTTTAAAAGCAAAAAAAATAATAAAGCGGTTCTTTTTTTCAGAAATTTTAATATTAATTATACATTCTTATTTTTGTACTAAAAAATTAAAGAATCTACTGGATTGAAAGGACCCTTTTGATTATTTCACATTGTAATCGAATTCCTTCGTTCCCTTGGGATAAAAAGGTTTTTAAAGTATTCCCAAAGGGACGAAATATCCTGCGGTTTACCAGGACAACATAAAATTATAAGACGTTTAAACGATAAGTCGTCCTGCGCAAGGATAAGCACTCAAGGATAACAAGGCAACAACCGCAGGCGGAGTGCAACGGCCGTTCACTCCGCTAGCACTTGCATTCAGTGCAGTCACGTCATGCACTGATATTTTTATTTTTATTGTGGTTTTATTTTTAGTAATTTTTCTTTTCTTCTTATTAATTATATCGAAAAGCGGTTCATAATGAATAATGTATTTACCTATAGATATAATAGCCTTAATTGTTAAAATTTAATAGGTATGATAAAACAATATTATTACATGCATATAAACTCTTTTGCAACAAAAAACGGGCACATAAGCAAATAACCAGTTTTATTGTTAGTTCTATAAGATTGTTTGATAGGTAGTATTACAGGTAGATACTCAGATTTTTTAAAATTAATTATCAAGGAATAATTTTCGTCAGTTTATCATAACATTTTCATTAAATTAATGAGAAATACTTAATATTATAGTGCAAATCGCCAGATGTGTACCTGCTCGCTAAGTAAAAATGAAACACGTTTTGTTGTTTGTTTTTTCCTTAATAAAGTAAAAGCAGATAAAAGTTTGCTATGGACGCTGACCTCCTCTCGCTGAAATCACCGCAATGTCTGGGCATGCTGACCGGAACTCCGACCTCTAGCCTATACGCTTCCACATCGTCACACTGGTGGGTGCGTTTAATTGAGTTTTTGCCGAGAGCGACTATTTTATAGTATAGTATGCGACATTTTTATAGTGATGTATGAGTAATGCGACATTTTTATAGTATAGTATAGGGGTGACAAACGAGCACACAATCCATGTGTGAATGAATGCTGTGACTCATAAACATCTACATCTATCCTTGATTACGAATTAAAATGCAGATGCGTTGTCACCCGTGAGGACTAAGATGGAATGCCTCGTTTCCAGTAAAAAGGGTCTCCGGTTCTCTACACTCTCCATACGAAGCACAGCAACGTTAAGCTGCTATTTTACGCTGGTACTCTGTGAGAGCGTGGTCCTTCCCCGGTCGAGCCGACCCATTCGTGCTACAACTATACTAATATCGCTGCAGCATGACTCTACCACGTACTAAATTTGTGCATTAGCAATTAGAACTTCTGTTATGTATCGGTGTCCAGCCAGTGCGCCTTTTTCGATGAAAATTAACTCCGTACGATCCAAGTAACTTATTCCTGCTCAAAACATAACACAGCTCCCACAATAAGGTGTGATTTCTTCAAAACATGCGTCTGCAAAACGTTCTCCCCGTCTTCGTAACATTCGCCGACGTCGTTCTTCACCGTACAGTGATATCCTGGCTTCATCAGAGAAAAATTGCTTATCCCAGTCAAGCAGACTGAGATACCAGAGACCATGACACACAATTTCGAGCAAAATTAAGCCTGGCCGCTCGGTGCTCACGGAGTAATTAAGAACCGACGGCTGAGCGATGACTGTGTACATTGGCAGCAAGAACCGTCGACCTTTTATAGACTAATTTGTACATTTCTTACTTCTTCGAGGTTGTTCTTGAGGTTCACATAAGAAGATTTGGAACTTCTCAACGCTTGACTCACCAGAAAACGATCATCCCCAAACCACGGGATGACACATGGCTTTCTTCCAGAACAAGGCCTTTTCTTGACGGAACCGGTCTCTTGATAGCGCTGCCAGGTCTTTTAGTCCGTCGAACGACTCACATTTAGCCTCCGAGCCTCCAAGCATTGGCTGTAGTAACATTTTCGAGACCGCTAAACAGCTATAGCAATACTTTAATATGTCTAGAAAATAAAATAATTCAATAAAAATGGACTAAAAGTTATTTAGAGTCGATATTAACTTTCGGGAGTTCGCGACACAAAATATAGTAAAAAGTTGTTTTCTTTAAAAATCAATAGTAATGAAATATAATATAACTACATAATTCTTTGGATTTACGTAAAAGGTAAAAGGTCGTGTAGTGGCAGTGTTAAATTATCCACTACCTCCATATCGTCCCGTAGGTGTTGTAAGAGGCGACAGAGGAAAACTGTAACAGGTGATAGATAGGCAGCAGCGTCTCTCATGGTAACAACTCAAATAACAAAAAACTGCGGTTGCCAATCCGCTTGCTAACTATGGTAACTATGGCAAAATCCCCCCTATGAGGCAATCTATGGGAGAGACCTCCCAAGCACACAAGCGTTATGAAGATCAATATACCAGCCCACATAGAACTTGAGTTCCTTTAAAAGCGCGTAAGTGTTGAAAAGAGGTTGTATCCTTATAAGAGTGGTTTGTGAGTTATTATACAGCTCAAGCTCTATAAAGGCTGTATTATTGGATTTAAGTAAGCTTAGGGTTCTTAATCAGAATATGTAAACTCTAGTATACAACTTTAAGTATTTTGTAACACTGCAATCGGATTTTATCATTAAAGTTGTATTGAAGCTGTTTTTTAGTGTGCTTATACAGCTCTAAATATTGCTATAGTATCTCTAAAATCTTATTTCTGAACAATGGCGTACTCTTTTCTAAAGCTTATTCTTAAGGTCTCATTGTATACTTTTATAAAAACTAAAAAAAAATAACAGCCATAGTACAAC